ATATCGTCAGCAAACTTGCTGAGGGTGCACTCTGTCCCTTCATCTAGGTCATCGATGCATAAGTTGAGCACCATTGGACCTAGTACTGACCCCTGGGGGACACCGCTAGCTACAGGCCTCCAACTAGACTCTGGTGCTACTGAGCACAACCCTCAGAGCTCTGCCATTTCTCAGTGTGTCTCCTCTGTTCTGAGGTTATTTAACCTCCAGCATTGTCAGAGGACCCTTCTTGGTTTTGTGGCAAAGAGGCTTTAGTGGCTAAAAATGAATAAATGTAAATGAATGGATATGAGTAAATTTTTAGTCAGTAGTGTAACACAGTAATCAGCTGCTTTAAAATACGCACAACTGTGTGACTTTGTGCTTTTAGCAGGGAGTATACTGTGATGAAATTTCCTATTTGTACTCCCAATATGTGTAACCTTTTCTGAAAAATACTAATATATTCTAATATTGAGATGTCATGTCCACAGCATTATGCCCTTTTTTTTGTTAATTAATTTCTCTTTCGAATATAGCCGGTATTGAGTTTTTTACATTCCTATGATTTGAAATTAAGAGGCAAGTACCTTATGAAGTTTTTTATGTGAAAACAAAACCTTGCTTTCTGATGTATTATCTTCCTTATTGACACTTTCTCTGTTTATGGTACGTTGAGTTTTCAAAAGTTGGTATACTAATAGCCTTTGATGGAGTTAATCATATGATCTCTTTGTCTTAGAGAAGCTAAAATTATGGATAGGATTAATTTATAAAGGATCCTTCCCAAAGATAACCAGATAGAACAAATATGTGTTTTATTTGTTTTTATGTAGCCTCTGTAAATCATCTGTTGTTGATTGAAATACTTAGATCTTTATAGCTTCTTATAAGTTTTGTAGTCTACAGTCCAAGATGAAACTTACAGAAATTAAGATAAAATTTTCAGAGGAAATTCTCATCAGAAAAGGTAACTTAAACTACTAAAGGTAGCTATGTAGTGATTTTTAAAAACAAAACAAAACACAGATTTTCACTTTTATTCTAGCAGTGCACATTCTTAGACTTTTAGAGCATGGTTCATTCTCAAACAGCCTTTTTCATATGAATTTATTTGAGTATATATGATGACCAATGTTCCAAATACGACGCTTAATCTGTAAGTGAAATGATAAGAACTCATTTCATAAGAATAATTTATCTAAATAGTTCAGTATTTTAGCTTAGTAAAACAATAATATTAATTCTCTTACGAGGAACTACTTATCAATTTAGAATTTGGCAAAGAAAGCTCTTCCTTGGTTGTAATAGTATAAAGACTTCGTAAACCTGGTGTCTGCACTGTGAGCTTATTTAACTTTTTTTTTTTTATCATCTGCACATGTTCTTTAAAATTCCCATAGATATAAATAGATATAAACAGATAGTGAAAATAAAATATATATTAAGATATATAATTATTCTTATTCTTTAATTAAAGAGTAATATCTTGGATTTTTGAAGATGGTTTGCAGCAAAAGCCTTTTTTTTGTGGCCTACCTTAGTATCACATTTTTTATTTAAGGAATAACGTTGCATGGCTGTAGATTGAAGCTAGTAGTGTTATACTGAAACATAATAGTTTATATTAAATTTGTAGTTCTAAATGAACGAGAGAAGCTAGGTAATATATGTAATTTCATAGTGCACATGGTATTAAGAATAACTATCTGATTTATAAAGGTAGTGACTTCACAAATATAACAAATATAACGAATGAGTATAGATGTGAAAGTGTCCTTAAGAATATCTCACAGACAAGTTCCGACAGTTTACGCTCTGCATGCCAATTCTGTGCTCATGTCCTACAAAAGAGTTTTCATTCTTCACAAAAAAGTGTATGTTTGAGGGGAAACATGGGCAATACAGTAAAGAGTAACAATGTGATTAATCTTCAGGTTTTTAATATAAGAGTATTCCAGAAACTTACTATCTCTACAATATGCTAATTATAGAATAAGAGGTATAACAACCATTGCAAATATAGCATCTTCATGTTTAGACCTGCAATCTTTTTTTTGCTTTTTTTTTATTTACGGAAAGCTGCTGGACAAATTTTCTCCTGAAATTACCATTTTTTCAGGTCTCTGTATAATTTAACGTTGGTTGAAATGTTTCCTTTCCTCTGTGCATGTATATCTTAGCTGCACTGTAGACAGGCTAATGTTTTCTAGACAGGGCATGGTAAAGAGGAGATATAGGAATGGGCTGAAGTATCCTTTATATTTGCCTTTGTATCTAGGGGAATTGGAAATAGGCAAGAATGGAGAGAAATTTTGTATGGCAGTGCACAGAATTTTGCAAGTTTAATGTGAGCCCTGCAGCAATCCGATGCATATTAGTTACTGGTAAGTTTGTTAAACTCTGTTTGAAAAATTGTTCATCTTGGAAGACAATCTTCTAATAAATTTTACTTCCCCTATGTCAACAGTAACCTTTTTTAAAGCATGATTTTGGCAACCAGATTCTGCTAATACAAATTTTTATATTTAAATTTTCACATTTAACTTACTTTTTGGTGGCCAATATGATTATATAAATTGACTTTCTTTGATAATATGTTAAAAATTATAGATACCATCCTCTAAATTAGGCAGTCAGTTTTCTGAAGATTAAACCCTTAAAATTCAACATTGAGGAAAAAATATCCAGTATGTGATTATGCATTTATTGCTATATATATATATATATATATATGTATGTATATCTAAATGCTTCTTTGAGGTCAGTCTGAATATGTGGGGAAGGAGAAATTTTAAAGATATTGGGAAACTATACCTGAGAACTGTTGGGTCTCTTCAGGCAGATTGAATGCTCCCTAGCATAAAGTATATATGATAGATAGCACAGTATGTGTAAGAATAGTGTTTTGTGCAACAGTTGTTATTTAATGCAGTTTTATTCCCTTCTTTCTACTCAAAAAGAAAAGTCACACCTGAAACAGGTATAAGCAAGATTTCTGGAAAAAAAAATCAGACTAAGCATGTAATCTGTTTTCTGCCTGTCTTTTTGATCATTTCTTTCAGGCAGTAATTGTTTCGGTGCTGTATGTGCAATGGGAGTTTTAAAACACTTCCTTTTTGATTTTGCAGTTCTTGCGTCTGTTAAAAAAAATAAGAGGTCTTTCTAATGTCATGATTTTCCTGCATACATAACTTTGTGGAACATTACACTAGTGAAGCTCCTAGTTATATTTAATTATTGTGCTACTATTCAGCAATGCTGTTGTGCTATACGGTATTCACCTCGAACTTTGTTGCATCTCTACGTGAATGTTAGGTGGTTCTGCTCAACTGCTTCTTTCTCTGGTATTTGGAATTTTTTATGTATTTGGAAGTGTGATGATGTATTTATGTTTGCTCTCTCAAGATTTGAGTTAATGTATGCTATAGTCAACTCTCTGTTATCTATGATCATGATCTTGGATAATCCAGGAGAAGGTTTGTAGGTAGAGTTACTGCTTGCAGATCTGAGCTGACTTTTGCAGAGCTGGCTTGTGGCCAGCTCTGCAATACCTGGTTCTGCAGATAAGCAGAGCCAATTTGGACACCAGAAATAGCATAGCTCATTCACAGAGATATTGACTGAACTCATATCTTTTCTGGAACTAGAAACATTGGAAATTGCTTTGTAATGATGGTTAATGTAGCTCTGTGTAGAGCTAATGTGGTCAGCTAGTTCAGACATACCCCACATAAAAATCTAAAATCTCAAAATATTGTCTGGGCTCTGTTTGCATCTAAACTAATAAACTTGGCTGATTCAGTCTTTCTTATGTAGAATGAACTTGTATGTTTCTGTGTTAGTGGCATGGTTAAATGTTAAGTGGGTTAATCAGGCCACTAATTATTTCAGAGTTGACTGGTGTATGTTATGCCTAATTAAAAAAAAGAAAAAAGGAAAGAAAGAAAAGACTTATTATTATGGTGTCAGTGTGTTTTACTGTTTGTAGTACTATCAGAATTTCTAACCATTGCATAGAGATTGTATTAATATGAGATAAGAATATCTCCAGCCCCTGAGTTTACCTTTAAGTAGATAGGACAGACTTAATTAAGTCCGAATTAATTGCAATACAGAGAAGTGGGCTTCTGGGAAATCATTCAAAGAGGTGGACGTAGAACCTTCTAAACTTAGGTACAGTGCCATGTTCATGGTACAGAACTCTTTTAAATCCATTTTAAGAGTAATTTCTGATTTTTCAATATAATGTTAATATAATTAATCACAATATCATTATTGTAATTTAGGTTCTAATCCTTCAAAGAAGTATGCTCCTTCTTGATGCATAATGAGTTGTCCTTCCGAAGTCATAAGGTTACTCATAATGGCTGACAGAGAGCACCATCTATATGAAATTCTTTTTTGACCCGTTCAGATTTTAAACAATTGCTTCTATATATAAATCTTCAATTTTGCATGTGTCAGTTCTGTAGAAGCTTTAACATGGGTTTCTTCTGAACTGCCATGGAGTAATGTTGTTGTTCTTAGTAGATCTTGTACTTTAAAATGATCATCTTATTATTTTAGATGATAAATACAATGGGAAGTTTCTGTCAGGGTAAAATAAAATTGAAGCATATAACCTGGTTTGAAATTGATGTGACAGTCTGACAAATTGTTTTGATAAAAGCTTTTGGAGTATTGTAAATGGATATTATCTATGTTCTTTTACTGCTGACACTTTGTGGAGAATCCTGTATGTGATTTTAGACTGATTATTGTGACCATACAATAATGAAGCAAGACAAGGCACTGTTTCATGTTCACAGCATGTACCTTGCCTACACTCTGTACTTTTCACATGGCAACCTTGCTCACCAAATAGAGTATGTCTTGTTTCCCTCAGCCCATTGATAATTTCTTGGTGCTGGCATGGATTATCTGATCGCAACATTTATTTCAAAGTAAAGGGTTGCATTTGGAGAGCAAGAGAACCTTTAGCTGACTAGATAGTGTAACTAAAATAAATAGAAATTTATAAATCGCAGGTGGGACGTTTCCTTTAATTCACTTTTTCATAGCTGTGAAAGCCACAGTTTCCACCCCTGCCTGAATCCACCACCTATGTGAGAACCTTTATGGTTGCAGATATATGTCTGTGCATTTAGGAATTTTTCTAATTATTTTATTTTTAGAAAAATAATGATAACTTTATGTGTTCCCTTTTTAAGTCAGTGCAATGCATTCAGTCATTTTGAGATGTTTAAAAGATTATCTTTTAAATTTTTTTCCTTTCTGACATGACCTTTTTTTTCTTTTTTTCTTTTCTTCTGGGTTTCTCAGCAACAGATGAATATATTTTTATTTCCCTCTCATCACCCAAAAACTAGTCATGATTTCTTTCTCCCACAGTCAGTGAATCTGTCTTGTATTTCCACTGTGTGTTGGTTTTCACAACATAGTTTCACTTTCTTACTGAGTCTGGCCTCTGAAGTCTCTCATCTCTCTTCTGTTTCTAAACTTTAACCTTTAGTGACCACTCTTTTCTCCCTACGCTTTCTGAACACCTCACCTACAGATAGTAATTTGAACACTGCAGGGCTGGACTGCTGGGTGATTTTCTTGCTGCTTCTGGAGTCTTTCTGTACTTTCCTAAATGGATGAAAGTGATAGTCAGCCTTTATTTGGCCAGGCCTAGATATTATTGTCATGTCTGGTCCGGAGAAAATATGAAGGAAGCTCTCCACCCTGCTGTTCCACTGTGGTCTGTGATGGGCATTGTTGCCCACAGGCATGTTCAGCTATTTTATTCCTCATTTTTGTGGTAGTAGTGACTATAGGGACTGAAAGTGTGGAATGGTAATGTAGCTAGTGGCTGCAAGTTTTGGTGTTTAGCATAATACCTTTTTCTGGATAGTAAAATTGCTGACACGGTTCCTGCTTGCAGCATTCTAGCACTGCTAGCTGGATCCCATTCATCATCTCTTACCTCTTCCAACTGCAAAACCTTTGACTAGGACTGCGAGTTGCAGGGCTGGATATTTAAAATTTTGGACAGTTCTGGTCAAATCAGGAGAGCTGATAAAATGATTTTCCACTTCTCTCTGAATACAGACTCTCACTCCTAGGATTGTAATATATGAACAATCACTGGAGAAATCTATCAAAAGAAAATTTAAGATTTAGTTTCTTTTAAGAAATTGTTCACCACTTTAAGCCTGTTTCTGCTTACTTAATATCTGGTGAATACTGAGGATATAACAGACTGCTTTTTTTCGGCATTTATAATCTGATAAATACTTGTTCTTTTCATGCAGTGCTACCCTATTGGCTTTCTTGGTTGAGCTTCTTAAGAGTTCAGTAGCCATGCAAGAACAGATGCTGGGTGGAAAAGGCTTTCTAGTCATTGGCTACCTCCTAGAAAAGGTATGTATTTTTTTACCTTGGTTCTTGGTATTTTTACAGTCATTCTGGATACTTTCATACCCTTAGCTCAAAAGGCTAGTAGAATAAATATATTTGTGATATCAGACATTTTCAGTTTGTAATATTTCTAAGTTGTCTGTAGGAATCTTTTCTCCTCTTATATGTCAATATTCAAAGAATGAGTGTTCTGCTTCTGAAATTTGCCATACTAAGATCATATTTGTCCTTAAACTGCCTTTGATAAACTGCTTGATTTCTTGAAAGATACTCCTGAGTCTTCATGGAAATTTGCCATCTTCCAGACGTCAGTTGTTTGTCATCTGAGGTCTGCTGCCCAATATCTTGCTGAATTCTCATAGCTGAGACTATGAACATGATCTGTGGCCACTCAGAGATGTTCTATTGTCATTAAAAAGCAACAACAAAGCAGTCTTACCGATAATGTCACCAAATACATGGCTAGCTTACAAAGGATGCAATGTTTAAGTTACCTTATGAAAAATGGACACTTATAACCTATTACTAGTAAAATAGTTACCTAACTTATTTTATATTCCACAAAAGAGAGGCATATTTGGTCCTCTTTAGAAACTATGAGGTGTTAAGATGTTTTGTCCCATATTTTGCTGCATTAACTACTGCTCCCACAGACCTCATCCAAGATGCTGCCCCAAGGAAGACAGTTTAAATTGAGGCCATTAGCAAAGCTCTCAAAAACCTGAGCCTCTGTGGCCACCCTATAAAATACAGTTGCTATGTTCAGAGGAGATACATCCTTTGCACAGGTGGGTTGGTATGATCTTTGTCTCAAGAAGTGGATGGAGAAATACCCCTTCCAATATTAGAGTTGAAAGCTATTCAATTTAAAGTTTCTTCTTTAAAATAACTTTTTAAAAGTATTTGATTAATGTAAAAGAAAGCACAGTGGCTATATTAGAAATAGTCACTGAAATACTATCATGTGCACTCCTCATAGACTGATAACTCAGCAGCTTCTGTGGTGGACAAACAGCAGAACTGCGACCTTTTGCCTGTCATGTTAGAGTGAAAAATCAGATTAGGTCAATACTCATATTCTGGTAAGGGAAATAATTTTCTGACATTGGTAGGGAGGAGCTAATGGGGTCAGGAGGTGCCTTGTTAAGAGCTAGAAGGCTCCACTGTATCAAATCTCAGATAGTGACAGTCGCATTTTTGTGGCATGGGATGCTCTGCCTAGCAGCTGCTTATAAAAGATAATGCTATGGGACTTTCTGAGGTAAAAGTTGACTGTTGTAGTTACTCTTAGTTGCTTATATATTATGGTCGTAGTGCAGAGCTCTGTTCAGCTGGACAGATGACCAACCTTTTGTTGACACAGGCACTTCTATTTACCTAGAAGACCTTAAAGCGTATTGTGTGAGACACTTGACAGATTCAGTATTGTTGGAAATACAGTCTTCCTTCCCTGATTAGTTTTTCCATAGTTACAGTGGAATCAAAGCTAACTATTTTATACTCAAGGTAACCCAATTAGCAAGGAACACAGAGGATTATCCAGAATTCTTAATACAATAATCTCACCTGAAACTGATATAGAAAAGATACAAGAGATTTTTTACTACTGATTGATGGCTTACGTAAGAGAAGCTGGCATTCTGCTTTTGCTGAGGAGTATGTAATTTCTGTAATTGGTTCATTACTAGAAATTCTCAATTAATATAGACATGAAATTCAAGCTGAATTTGCTGGAGGAAGCAGAGTGTAGTATTCTGTCTGTATTCAGAAGACACATGAGGCTCATGATACGAGATCAAATCTTTGCAACGGCAGTATGAGAAAAAAGGTCTAATCTGATATTCAGAGGAGGGAAGGAGCGATATAGAAACTGCCATTTCTACATTGTTGTGCTCACCAGCTCTGTGAGTTAAGTTGACAAATGTGTACAGTACTACTGTCATTTTTTTTTAATGGATATCAATCTATCCAAGCCATTGTTCTTCCATGATTTGCATTTTCCCTTAGTTATTATTTTTCTTACTGTCATTATTGAAGTTCTGCAAGTTTCAATTGAATTTTCAAGGAATTTAGATGATAATATGTGAAACAATTAGGTAACACTATGTGAAAGAATGAAATATCATTTCTACAAAACACTACCTTAGAGAATCATGCTATTCCAGAGAAGATACTTTATGTAGTGCTTCTTAATTTTACATTTTATTGGGTAATGGAAGAAAGAGATGTTCTTGGTGTTAATTTCTCGACAGTTAATTTCTTGATAACTACTAGGCCAGTGATTGCAAGGGAATATCTCCCTTACAATGCAAAACCATTTTTCTTGTGTACTTGAATATTTGTTAATTCACCTAATCGCTTAACATTTAGGCTGTCATCTTTAAAAGCAGCAGGTGCAATGAAATAGTTCTGTGCTGTTTGTACAGTTATGTTTAATAATCTGTTAGATGTTCTGCAGTTTCTTGTACAGGTCTACATTTATAATAGTTTTATATTGAAGAGAGCATAAATACTTCACAAAAATGGTTGCCTTTGTATCCAAAAGGTTGACTTATTAACCAGAATGATATATATTTATGCAACCTGCAAACACAAATATCACATTTGTGTTTTTATACCATTTTATGGTCTTGCTCCACCAAGAGAATATATGAAAATATGTTTACTCTTTCTGTTTTGTATTTTTCTCCCTCCTTTCCTTTTTTTTCAGTTAGAGTTTGGGGATTAGATTTTTAACTGTCTGTGGTTATATTGTCTGTGGATATTATATATCCACAATATATATATCCATAATATATATTTTATATATATGTGTGTGTGTGTGTGTGTTTGTGTGTGTGTAGTGTGTGTGTGTGTGTGTGTGTGTGTGTGTGTGTGTGTGTGTGTCTGGGGATATTTTTCCTTTTTTGGTGAAAGAAAATTCAGACTGCTATATTATGTTCATATAATAAGCTTCATATTAAATTCCACAAATTTCTGAAATATACCTGTTTTAGTTCTGTCATGTTGATAGACCTTTAGTATTAAACCTATAAAATTATATCATCTAGCGTAATGCCTTTTCTGAATTTTTTTTGTATTACACACATGATCACACATGCCAAATGCAGAGATACTGATGAAACCTAGAGAAGAAGAAAAATTAGCATTAATATTCCTGAGATATTGACGATTTTCTTTGCAATTTTCTTTGAAACTAAGAAACTGTTACACTAACCAGAACAAATTATCCAAGGCTGTTTTCTTAGTATAGAAATTGGCCAACATATTCATCTTCAGTTTCACGGGTTCAGAGTGAGACTAGATTATCAATTTATCTTCAGTTGCTGTCTGTTCTTGTATCAAAGATGATGACCTGGTGTTTAAATCTATTTGTTTTCCCATACCTTAACATAAAAGTTTGCATGTCAATAGGGAAATATTTTGGAAAAGTTGATCCTGTTTATCTGATTTATGCTTTTACTTCAGAGCTGTTTGTAAATCACTTTAAATGTATTTTGTGTTTCATCTGGCAAACAACTTTCTCCACTCCCTGCCCCACACTCTTCTCTGGCAAAGTTATATTGTTTGCACAAACATGTCACAGACATTTCATAGTTTAGGTCTAATTTTCTTTTATTTACTGTTAATAAAAATTAACTTAATCCCCAGAGGGTCAGTTCTGAAATTGTTGAAGTAACTCCTCTGTGCTTTGAAAAAAAAAAAAAAATTAAATAATTCTGATCCTGAAAGGAACAGTTGCAAGGGGCTTACTTGTATGCTTTTTACCATTATGAGCTGATTTCACAAAGTTGAGGTTTAGTTCAAATGTTTGTCTAAGAACCATCATCTCCCTCCTGGCCCAAAGCTTTCACAAGGCCTGTTAATATAATGTAATGACCTTAAAACAAACTAATGTCAGCTGTACTAAGATAATAGTACTCTTACAATTGATTCTCATTACTTTAACGTTCTTGAATGTCTGCTACTATATTTTTTCATTGGCATAGGGCCAGTATAACAATCATTGGAGAAGGAGTTATGATTAGAGTTTCATGGCTTGTGATGATTAAACTAAATTATGATAACATCACCTTTAAAAATGTACTGAACTTTGAAGGAAAATGCTAAATAATCTCTCTCATTCTGCTTCCTGTGTTTTTCTAGCTAGGGAAATTTATTCTTATAATAGAAACTGCTTACCTTCGCTGAATAAGTATGACTTGAAAGTGGATTATTTCCTAGGGTTATACCAAACAAGTGTGATTTAAAATGTTAAAGAACTATTCTAAGATCTTTTTTTCTAATAGTAGGCTTTCCTGTGGCATCACAAGATTGAATTTACAAAGCTCTTAGCTCCACTTCTGCAAGTCATGTACAGGCAGGCTAGTGATCCCACATGGACTCCCTTTGTCTTGAATAGAGCATGGTGGTTTATGCACACGGAATAATTTGCAAGATTGTAGTCTATTTATTATGTTGTACAAGAAATAAAAAAGTTTGCATACTATTCTAATTAATGCCTGCTCCGATTTTAAGTTTCGCCAAGTCAGGATCCTCTCTATTTCTAACTTGAGAATTTTATTGCATCATTAAACTCAGAGTATGTCAATATTTAAAGGATTTATTTTTGATTTCTGCCACAACGTAATTCTTGCAATGTATGCTATTTTCCTTTTTTTCTTTTTGTAACGCTATATTCTCCTAAGTTGCAATTTTTCAAAAGGATGTTTTTTATTTTTTACTGTGAGCACTTGTATTCAGCTGGCACGTATGGCAGGAAGAAACCCTTTTTGTTTCATATCTGGGCTCTATTTTATTATTTGTAGATTATCTGCTGTTCGTTTGCATGTAATCAAATACTTTAGAAAGGAGGACAGACAACTATGTGTTTCTTCTGACCTGAACATTAGAAGAACCTTTTTGTTCATATTAGTTGCAGACTATTTAGTGTGGTTTGTCATGTACAAGCCAAAGGAAATTCAGTATCCTGACTGAGTTTATATTACTGACAAATGTATTTCACTTCTAAAAATAACAAATCTGCATGTTCCCATACTGTATTTATAGCATTAAAAGTAATTGCAACGTATTTGGTAGGGAAGGCAAGGGGAGAGATGTTTAATGGTTGTTCCTATTGGTTCCTTTTGTTAATTTAGTAGAATGAAGTTTGTCAAACTCCACATGCCGTATTGCTGCATAGGAAGAGGACTCAACAATGATTGTATAGTATATGCTATGAAATTTAAGGACTCTTTTGAAATCTGAGGAAACCCTGAACCCAAACCCTTCAAATAGCTACTTATGTTTAAGCAAAAAAAAAAAGCAAGTCTGCAAATACTGTGTATTTACATATTGACAAACACAATTTCAGTAAGATGCATAATTAACTTATTACACTGAAGACTAGTTAAGGACTTCAGACCAGGTTCTCAAAGCACTGTGCCACAAGATGTAGAATGCTGACTGGAATATAATAGAAGGAAAAGAAAACAAAAGAAGAGAAAGGTTTAACCCCAGCTATTGATGAATATTTTGAATTTGTAAAATGTAGCCATTTGAAATATCATTAATATTATTTATTGGAAAATATAAGGTTTTGATTTCTTCTTTTTATTTTCCTTTTGTATCCAATGGGATAAAAAATCATGAGGTTGCATGTATTTAGTAAAGATGAGCCCAGTGAAAATATTGTTTAATATTTCTGCTGTAAGTACATTACGGAAGATTTTTTTAACTTTTGTTCTTTCTGATTATTTTTTGCCAGTCATCTAGAGTTCATATAACTAGGGCAGTTCTGGAACAATTTTTATCATTTGCAAAATATTTGGATGGATTGTCACATGGAGCACCTTTACTGAAGCAATTATGTGATCACATTCTTTTTAATCCTGCTATCTGGATACATACCCCTGCAAAGGTAATTGTGCACTTGGATGATGTTATGTCCTTCCTGTTGTGAAGTACAATGGGAGTACTCTTATATTCTACGGTGCTTAGGTTTTAGTGTTTTCTTTAAATACATGGTACTAGTAGAGATCTTTTAGGTCATGAAGTCTATCCTGCTTGGCTCTATTCTCTAACGCCTTTTACACATTTTTAAAAGCAGTTACATTCTTGCCAAAGGTTCTGGTTGATTCTATGGGAAGACTGTTTATAGGAACCTAGTTCCTTTTTCGATGATTACGTTATGTTGTTTGCTTAGAGATTAAGCAAAAAAATGAATACTTTTAATTGTAAGCAGAAGGTTACACGTTCACATAAATTTTTGTTTTAATTTAAATGATGTATTCTGGCTGGATAAAATTACCTAATTTTTTCATTCTTTGCTGATAATAATGAATTTATTATTTTCCTAAATAATCAGAATTGAGGGATGTGGACCAAAAAGTAGCATGGTCATAAAATCTGAAAATATATGTCTTAATATCAAAAGCCAAAATATGAAGCAAATTAGCATGTCTCTCATTACATAAATTACAGTACCATAGAAGATTTAGAGTGGAAGGGACCTATGGAGATCATTCAGTCCAGCCCCTTCTCCCAGTAAAATTATTTGTAATTTTTTTTTTATATCATATTCAAAGTAAATCCTAACAATTCTTTACAAAGTAAGGCTATTAATATTTAACTTATGTTTATGTAGATAATTATTTCATTCTTCAGGTGCAGCTGTCTTTGTACACCTACTTGTCAGCTGAATTCATTGGAACTGCTACAATCTATAACACTATACGTAGAGTAGGAACAGTATTGCAGTTAATGCACACGTTGAAATACTACTACTGGGTGGTTAATCCTGCTGATAGCAGTGGTATTACTCCTAAAGGATTAGGTAAGTACAATGCGTAAGAAAGAAATTATAAGCATTTCTTGCAAAGGAATATTCCGTATGTTGATGTGTGTTCCTAGATTTCTACTTTGATCCTCCCTCACATAGCATGTAACTATGTGGGACATGCTTTCGAATATAAAGAAAACTCGCTGATTTTTATTTGTCTGTACCAGAGAAGAAATAGTAAGCATATCTCATATGCCAAAGAAAACTTTACAGGGTTTGAATATCATAATGATTAGTTAGTAATATTAAGTGACCTGACAACTGGGGGGCACTTTGTGTTCTCACGGGTAAGATCTCTAAAGCTGTATTTCCAGGTCAGTAATATTTTTCTTTTGCCCTTATAAAATAGAGGTTGATTTAACTTAGCTAATAGTCACATGTTTAGTTTAGCTTAGGAAGCATTAAATGACAGGAACAACAAAATACAATAATAAATACAGGATAGACACTGCCTGTAACAGATGTGTTATTAACCAGAGCATCAAATTATTCTAATCCTATACACTGCAGCTGTAATGTCATTACATTTAGCAGACTACTTGTGTAAAGCCAGAAGGATATGGCTGAAAGTTCCTTGAAAATTAATTGATGTAGAAACAACTTATTAATTGTCTTTATTCTGTAATTGTTACCATCCTGCCAAGAAATTCAGAAACTGGGGGAGGTTCGTTCTTCTCCTGTTCTTTAATGCTGTCAGGTACCCAACAATGTAAGAATATGAAGAAATACATGTTATTGGAAAATTTGTTAATTATCAGTGAGCTGTATGCATAGAGTTTTTTTCCATTTTTATGTTTACCATTAAAAATGGAAGGAACAATTCTTATCCTACATTAGGTGCCCTAACAGACAGAAAAATTGTAACTTACTGAAGCTTACAGGAAGAGTTCCTTCTGGAGCTGGTCCCTCGTTCATAGTTGTTATCTCGGAGCATAATATGAGGCTAACTATATTCTTGATGAAATTATTCAAAATTATTTTAATAAAACAGCTAATGACAGTTTCTGCTTTTGTTCTCTGTTCATTTGAATGAAAAATTTGTAACGTCATGTAATGAAAATTAACCCTTGTAGTTACTCAATTAACTTGAAATTTTGGGGAACCATGACAAATACTTTCTACTGATTATTTCCTGGGTTCTCACTGTCCGAATGGGTTTAAGCTCATTTCATCTGTGGTGCATACAATGTAATGTGTTTATGTCTGACGTAGCTGTGCAGATTATAGGAAGTGGACTGCAGGGTTCAATTGCTTGAATATAGGTTTCTAGCATCATTTTAGGCTCTGTGGGGCATCCTACCTGGCTTTCAGGGCCTTCTTTAGAAGGTTGCAGGTGTCCTGTCCATCCTGTGTCATATCAACCAGCTCTCTGTAGATATCTTGGACACCTTATGGCATGTCAGATGATACTGATGATAATATTTAAGGAACCGTTTCCCGTCCCTACTCAACAGAGCCTAGCGAAGTATTTAGTTAGAAAGGTAGATGCTTTCTAGGCTCCGCTGACTGTATTGATTAGGCCTCTGTTGACTTCAGTGGAAGGTTAGGTGCTGGTCTTTCGTGTTGGCAAGTACAGTGTAAACATTTAAAATCATGGAAAGCTAAATGCTCATGCTTAACTTGCCCACCAGGACTCCAGGTCCTTCTCTGCTCAGCTGCTTTCCAGCAGGTCAACCCCCATGCTGTCCTGGTGCATGGGGTTATTCCTCCCTAGGTGCAGGACCTTGCACTTGCCTTTGTTGAACTTTGTGAGGTTCCTCTCCGCCCACCTCTCCAGGTATTAGCCACTCCTCCCAGTTTAGTATTGTCGGCACACTCGCTGAGAGTACACTCTGTCCCTTCATCTAGGTCATCAGTGAATAAATTGAGCAGCATTGGCCCCAGGACTGACCCCTAGGGGACACTGCTAGCTACAGGCCTCCAACTAGACTCCGCACCACTGACCACAACCCTCTGAGCTCGGCCATCCAGCCAGTTCTCAATCCACCTCACTGTCCACTCCCACACTTCCTGAGCTTGCCTAGGAGGATGCGATGGGAGACAGTGTCAAAAGCCTTGCGGAAGTCAGGGTAGACAATACCCACTGCTCTGCCCTCATCTCCCCAGCCAGTCATTCCATCAGAGAAGGCTATCAGATTGGTCAAGCATGATTTCCCTTTGGTGAAACCATGCTGACTACTCCTGATCACCTTCTTGTCCTCCACAAGCTTAGTGAGGACCTCTAGGATGAGCTGTTCCATCACCTTTCCAGGGCTGCAGGTGAGGCTTCATATCTCTTGTACTGGGGAGTCTAGAACTGGGCACAGTACTCCAGATGTGGCCTCCCCAGGGCTGAGTCGAGGGGGAGGGATCACCTCCCTCGACCTGCTGGCAATGCTCTTCCTAATGCACCCCAGGATACCATTGGGCCTCCTTTGCCCCAAGGGCACATTGCTGACTCATGGTCAATTTGTTGTCCACCAGGACTCCCAGGTGCTTCTCTGCAGAGCTGCTTTCCAGCAGGTCAGCCCCCAGCCTGTCCTGGTGCATGGGGTCATGCTTCCCAGATGCAGGACCCCCTGCACATGCCTTTGTTGAACTTCCTGAGGTTCCTCTCTGCCCATCTCTCCAGGCTGTTGAGTTCCCTCTGAATGGCAGCACCGCCCTCTAGTGTATTAGCCACTCCTCCCAGTTTAGTATTGTCGGCACACTCGCTGAGAGTACACTCTGTCCCTTCATCTAGGTCATCAGTGAATAAATTGAGCAGCATTGGCCCCAGGACTGACCCCTAGGGGACACTGCTAGCTACAGGCCTCCAACTAGACTCTGGTGCCACTGACCTCGGAGCTCGGATATTCTGCCAGTTCCCAACCCACCTCACTCTCTGCTCATCTAACCCACTCTTCAACAGTTTGACAAATAAGGTTGTTATGGGAGACAGTGTTGAAAGCCTTGGGGAAGTCCAGGTAAACAACGTCCACTACTCTCGCCCCATCTGCTCAGCCAGTCATACCATCATAGGAGGATGGTTAAGCATTATTTCCCCTTGGTGAATTCATGCTGACTGTTCCCGATCACCTTCTTGTCTTTCATCTGCCTGGAAATGGTATCTAGGATGAGCCGCTTCATCACCTTTCCAGGGATTGAAGTGATACTGACTCTTTTGAAGAGTGGAGTGACATTTGCTTTCTTTTCTTTCACTTACCTATTTTAAGGGTATAATATAGTCCTTTTCATTTATATCAATTGAAAACAAAGGACATCTGTTTTCCTAAGGCAGGCAATCAGATTATACCCTGAAAGATAATCAAACAGTCCAAATTGCCAGTTTGTTCAGTATAACAGCATGACAACAAAAGCACAATTACTAAGGCCTGCATACAGTATTTGAGGTGTTTAATAAACTGTGAGGCCATAAATATATATTCAAACTAGATATTATTATCCAGTATCTCTGTATTTTCTCCCTTTTTTATTAGCTTTCCAGATAATCTTTGTTACCACTTTTCAAGGCTAATTTCAACTTTCCCCCTTGTTTCACCATATTATCCTGTTTCTTTCTCCCTCTTACTTAGAGCACAGAAAGTCCTACACGTTTGATATAATAGTGTTTTACAGCACTCCCTTTCCTGCCTTTAAACATGGTTTTCTTTGGATTTGAGTTGAAGCATGTCAGCTTATCAGGGAGGGGAAAATCAGTGACATGGCACTATGCTACTACCTCCAGCATAGCCATGGAATTTTCTCCATGCAAATCAGCAGTACGATTTCTTTATTTATTTTACAGGTAGTTTTTGCTTTTGACTAATAGAGCTGTAATAATTGTAATAATTTGCAAGCAACTGACTGTGGAAATAAAGTAATTGCTGAGATGATGGGATGCTAAATTTAATTTCTTGTTAACTGGTTTTTTTATCAACTTCACATTAATTGCTTTCATCAATTTCTGAAATTCCTGAAACCTTCAGAAAAATGTTTAATTCTCTGCATACTACATTGCTTCTCATGAACACACTCTCTTCTTTTACCATTAAGTGCATTAAGTCTGTCAGTGTTATGTGCAATTCTGGTTGATTCAGGCTTAGAATACTATAAGGAAAAGAAGTAGAAACAGTTACAGGTAGTGTTACTTAATGCTTTTGTCTTTTGAACTCTGTTTTCAACAACTTTGCCAGTCCTACTAATTCAGAAAAGTTAACTGTTCCAAGAGGTTATTTTTGTGTTGATTTTTGTTAGACTGCATACATTTAGTACTGCCAAATGTAGCCTGCAGGTTTATCATTTGTTAAAATAGTATGTAGAAAGAAGTTTGTAAAAGTAAGAAACTCACACTGTAAAAATTCAATGATACTAATATTAGGATTGCTGCATTTTAAGTGGCTTTTGATATTTCAGAATGAACAAGAACCTATTGCCCAGGAGTAGTAATTTTACTTTAAGAAACAGAAAAATGTCATAATATGAGAAATGGCACATGATATTTCACTATCAGAGACAGCTAAAGCTTTAAGCTAAGCTGACATCAGACGTTTCAGATTTGGAGAAGGCTTTAATGGAAGACTTCCCAAATTTTAGCAATTTCATTGTGTATTACAGTGCTTTAAAATAATTTGCTATCATGTTAAAGTATAAGCTTATTCATTCAGGCATTTTAATAGCCTGATGCTTTATTGTCTTGTAGGCATATCATTTTTTTATTATGCAGAGTTACTGAAACACTTTTTAATATTAGTGGTTTGATTTACTGTTAGTTGCAGACAGTTACTTTGCTTCAAGGTTTTATTGCCTTCTTGTGTCTTAATGAAGCAGAATGTAGGTGAGTTTTTTGTACTAACAGTTTACTATGCCTTATTTAAAGCCAAAGTGTCTCAGTATTGAAGCTTTCCATAGCTTTTCCATAGCTAAGGGTAAAAACAGCATTTAGCTAACAGCAAAAACTGTTAACAAGCGAAAGTTCACCTATTACTTCTTCTGCTATTCATCCTTTAAAATAGATGTAAATATTTTGAATCATCTAAAAGATTCAATTATTGAATTATTTCAAATTTCATTTTGTATCTGCTCATTTATTTTTGCTTTCTTATTTCATACTGGTATTTCTTCTTGGATTCAATATTCTCATTATGTATTATTTGGTTATCTTCTCAAATATTAGAAATATTTTTTCAAAACAAATTGCTTGAAATTTTTTTTTTAAGTAGATTGTACTTTTTGAATATAAATGCACGTAGCGGAATCTAATTTTCTACATAAAATTATGGGGTTTATTTTCTTTGTCAATGTTTTTTAATTAAACTACTAGTCATAGATAGATTGCAGGACAAAAGTGACTTGTGTTGTATAAATACTATGTTGAAGCAAACTTCTGAAATAATTCTATTGTCAGGAAAAACAGCAAAATTTTAATCCATTTCCATAGGGAACCATGTCTAAATTTTATTTTACTTTACATTTTACACTTGAAATATGGTTTAAATTTTTTTTTGATTTGCCACTTATATGTTTTTGTGTTCTAAAAACTAAATTTGAACATTGATTCATTGTGAAGATATTTTAAAATATTTTTATGAAGCTATGAACTTTTTGGAAAGATTGATCTTAGAGATATAGTAGAGGTTCTAAGTTATAGTGTTTCCATTTAAATTGTTAGAAATATTTTAATAATTAGTTTAGAACACACATTTTTTTACTTTCATTTTTGGTCACTATTAACTGTTTTATTGGATTATTTAATTTTTTAATTATCCTTTTTAAAGAAAAATAAAATATGTCTGCACTTTAAAAAAAAAATGCATGTTCTCCATGTACCTGGGTTTGACTTTGAATTTTTGTGAATTTAAGCATAATATGAGACTCCACTAGGATAGCTAAACCTTTAAAATATCTTCATTAGAATTGTTTAACAACTGTATGGCATCTCTGAAAATACTTATGGACCAACAGTGGCATAAAAATGAGGAAAAAAATAAAAAGAATAATTTGGCAATAGCAGAGAAATAAAGTATTGCTTCCCCCCTCTCCCCCCAAGAAAAACTGTCTCAGGATACTCAGTGTTAACTCTCAGAAATTTATTCTGCTAAAATAATTTTGGACTCGGTTGCAGTGCATCCCTTTAAATAGTTAAGACTTCATCAGTGTATGAGAGAAATGTGCATCTAAGCTAGAAACTACTGACTGAGTAGCATAGTCTGATCTCGAGCTGTTTACTCCACTAACATTTCCTGCGTCCTTCACAGCTCTTATTCTGAGCAGACTTTCAGGAGCCAGTATCTTGTCTCCTGCTAGAGAAAGCATGGTTGTTAATGCCCAAGTTAACTTATGTGTTTTGTAAGGTTTCCAAGGTCATATTTCATGTCCAATATTTTTGATCCTGAGCTAGTAAAAGTAGGAGTTATGCAAATGATCATAAGGAGGTAGTAGCTATAATCTTGCATTTTGTGGTTAACAAAAAATTGCAGTTATTTCAAGAGTTGATTTGGATTGTAACTCAATTCTCATTTGCGTTGCCCAGCAGGGTAAAAAATAGATTCTTCCTACATAATGTGGGATGTTTGTTTTTGTATACATGGAGATTGAATTCTGCTATCTATATATTCTTTTATTGATCCAAAAGGTAGAAAACCATCCTTTTACTGAGAAAAAAAAGAGGCAGATGGAAGAATTTTGCATTTTGTTGGTCATGTAACTGATTCCCAATTTTTTATTAACAAAGCTAGAATTAGGAATCGTTAATTCTAATATTCAGAGCTCTCCATCAGTATTTTACACAGTTATGGGTTGCGCTTTACTCTGTGAACCAGATCACACTGAAGGTTATAAATATGTTTTCTTCTTCCCTCTTAATTGCTTGCAAGGTTATGTTTTATGCCCCTGTAATTACTCTATGCTGAAAGTATGGGCTGGAAATTTTTTTTTTGATTTTTGTCTGGACAAAACTGGCTAACTGCCATTATAAGTGTACATTAAAAAAAATGAGGCAAATCAGATACTTTCTGCAATAAATAAATGCATAAAGATTCTAAAAGCAGGAAGTGATTTAATGACTTATCTGGATGAGGGATAAGGGGGCATCCTTTGTCTTTATAAATTTACCTGAATATGGCAGTTCTGTACAGGCACTTGTGGTTTCTGTACAAGATGTTAACATAATAAGACTCCTTTTTTGTTTGGTTAGTTTGGTTTGGGTTTTAGTCTTTAACACTGAACAGACTCACATTGGTGTTAGCAGTTTCTGCCTGATGGTGACACTGAATTGTCCCTATCCAGAGATAGGCACAAAGGTGAGAAGATAGCAAGGAAAGCTTACTGTTAAACATCTGACTTGAAAATCAAGGTGTAGTTTTCTCTCTTTAGCTTAGTACTGTAATTTTTAAAATTATACAATAATTATGTAGTAATGTTTTTAATTATTGCAATTACTGTCTGGTCAGTAATGCATTTTTTTAATTAAATCTGTCTATTATTAGTTCTTCAGCTAGCAAGGAAGCCAAAAAGTCTGATAAAACATCAAATCTATAATAGCAAAATCCCTTTTATGTAAATTCCCAGGTTTGTTATATTCAATCTATATCAGATCACTGTTGTGTTGCTCTTGCTGCCATCCTTTCCCCCCCACTGTTTGTTATACAGTCTCCAGTTTCTCTAGTCTCTGTTTCTCTTCTCTGCCAGTTCTCTTGTTTTAAATTTCCATTGTAATAAACTTTTCTGGGTAGAGGCTTTTCTGACTGAAATGCAGAAAAGCTTCAAGACACAAAAGGAGTGAGTAACAATGAAGGATGGTGGGGAAAAAGCCTAGTTTTGGCAGCTCGGCAAACCTGCAACTCTTGTATCTTGTGTCTTTTGAGGCACTGAAAAGGCTTCTCCCACATATCCAGAGATTCTTGTGGGTATGTCTATAAGAAGTATGAAACTCTGTTCTCTTTGAACAGGTTCCCAGTTAATATGGGATGTCCTCTTTTTAATCCCTCCTTAAAATTTCTTTTATCAAAATGCTTTACAGAGCGCTCCGTTACCTTAGTTTTCTGTTCTATCTTTCCTTAACTACAATTGCAGAAAAGACAAAGAGCCTTAGATTTTAGGCCTGGTTTTATGTGGTTTTGGATCCTAATAAGGCATAGGGGGAAAGAGGCAGAACTGTGAAGATTGACTTCCATAATGCAATTAGAACAGTGAGTTCTGCTTGTATGGTAGGCAGAGAAATAGCTGTTGGCTCGAAGCATGCTATTGCCATAAAAACTCATGCATTTTTTTTGTAGTTGTAGTTAATACCAAAAAATCCAACTTACTTTCTGTTTTTACAATGGGAAATACATGTTTCATGGTTCCATTAGAATTTATTTGTATAAAACTATTTCTGTATCTTTAAAGCCAGTATGATAGGTTTTCACAGCAGTATCCTCATTGTTTTGAAGTACTGAAGAGACAGAGTTTGGGATTTACTTGCTTCATTCTGAAAAGTCCCCTGTTCTCCTTCTCTCTCCCCTCCAAAAGAGGCGAGAAGACTTGAAAGGACCACTCTTTCTTCCTGTTAGGCAAACAAATACAACTCACTTCCAAGTTTGCAGCAAGCAGATGCCTGGATTGCTATGTGTAATGCATTGACTTCATTTCAAAAAAAGAAATCAAACTTTAAAAAAAAAAAATAATAACTAAAATATTGGATTCAAGTGGATTGGAAATAATACTTACTGGCCCCTTTTAAGTATACATGTCTATACGACGTAGATACCTACTAGATGTTTAAACTCCTATTACACCCAGTGGAATTCCACTCAATATGGACTCAATAGAACTATTCATTTTCATCCTGAATTGGGCACTGACAATGGGTCAATTGCGTGAAACTAGTCAATAAAGAGAGTTTTTTGCTTATACAAGGATTTCAACTCCTAGCTCATATGGAGACACCTATAGAGCATACACTTTCATGTAGTTACATGAATCTAGGCCTGATTTCTACATTTCATATTCTTGTGTCTTTGTTTAGAAAAATAAAACAAAATATTTAAATTTCTTTTTTTGAAACTAAAACATCACTTAAGGCATATTGATGTTGTATAATGTGATTCTGAAAGGTTATGAATGATATCATTTGCAAATATGAATTGTTATATAATGAACAGAATACTAAATCTGTAGTAGGAACTGTGATTTCCTGAGGAAACTGTCATCACTAAAAGAATAAGGTTGTATTTAAAAGTGATATATTTTGCTTCTTCCAGATGGTCCTCGGCCTTCACAGAAAGAAATCATATCACTAAGGGCATTTATGCTTCTGTTTTTGAAACAACTTATACTGAAGGTACAACAATCTATTCCAGAATATTACGCTGATAAAAAACTTTTAAGATCTGTTACATAGATGTAATAAGTTCTTTCAGAGCAGTGGATATGTAATACCTATCAAGTATTGAATCTGTTTCTGATTAATTTTAATGTTGATGCATATACTTCTTATATATTCAGTATAAATGTAATGAATTAATACAATACTTCTTACTAACCTCACCAAACTGCTTATATATATTTAACTAAATATACTTGCAGAAATGATGTATGACACTACAGAAGCCTCAGGTATTTGGGTCAGGTTTTTTATAATAATAGTCTGCTATACTTGACTGACCAAATAAGAAGGTAATGGTGGTTAAGTGAGTTAACTTTATTGTTGTCTGGGTCCTACTGCTAGTTGAAACCATCAAGGAATCTGTCTGTCACTGCTGAACACTGGTTTTTGAAGAGTAATCTGCTCTTCGAGACTGGGCAGAAAACCAGCATTTTTTGGCCTGTCTTTTTCCTTCCATTTCTCTGGTCTTGTACCAGGAATTGGAGGAAAGGCAGTAAGAGTCTCACCATCTGAGGATTGCCCGTACTACAAAAAGCCTTCCTAGCAGGAGTGGAGGGCTGATTTTAGTCTGTTTTTGTATTGCCAATTTGGTATGGAAAAGGAATGGAGTGAAAGAATTTAGTCCTCTGAGTTTAAATAGTAAATTCATAGATTACTTAACTCAGTCCAAGTTTTTAAAAATGTCATGTAGGTAGTAAATTTCATAATTGTTGGGGCTTTTTAAATCAAATTTAAAGAATATATTCTCTCAGAAGAAATTCTCCTCCTTTTTTAGGATCGAGGAGTGAAAGAAGATGAACTGCAGAGCATATTAAATTACTTATTAACGATGCATGAGGTATGATTCTGTAATTACCTGTCTTTTACTGTAATCCTTTGTACCAGCTCTATGGAAAGCGTGCTGCTGAGGCTAGTTTGTAGAATAATGTTGATGCTTGTCACACAGGATGAAAATATTCATGATGTGCTGCAGCTGCTGGTGGCTCTAATGTCTGAACATCCAGCATCCATGATACCTGCCTTTGATCAAAGAAATGGGATACGGTAAGACAGTGAAGTGAGAAAATACTTTGGAAGTAGTTCTCCAGTATCATCCCTCACCAGACTGATTCTTTTTCACATAAATCTCATAGTTGTTTTTCTTTCAAAGTACAATCTTATTTATTTAGGCTGCATATTTTTCAAAAACAAGATTTCTTTAATAGCTCGAAAAGAGTATTTTTTAATAGCTCTCAGGCAAAAATTTTCCCCTTGGAATTCATATTATCAGATATGAAGGCAAATGTACTGTTGTACTTGCTTCTCAGTCTGAAATAGAATCTTTAATTAACACGAAACATCAAAAAAGTATATATCTGAGAATCACTTTGAATATTCTATCTGTGGGTGTTTTACATAGTTTGGAGGGGAGAGGAGAGAGATGAGAGAAATCCTTGGCTAACCTCTTTAAATACACTCTAAAGACTTAAGAAAAGTATCTGTGCAATTCATATGTTTATCTGTTGTCAGTAAATTTAATAAATGATAACTGTCAGAGAAGCAGTGTTATTTTGGTTTTTTCTTATGTCTAATTTGGTAATGTAAAAGTTGATTTTTTTTTCCAGAGGATGAAAACTTTTTTTGTATCTATTTAATGATTAATACACTTTTTAATTTTGTGTTCTAAAACTTTAGAAAAAGCAAGAGACTTGCAAAAACCGATAAACAAACAAGCAAGAGCCTATTTATCTCATAAGTTCAAGGAGTTTATTCCATAAAATATTAAAAACTCCATGCAACTACTTGTATTTAAAGCTATTTGAATGGCGATGCTAGTTGATACAACAACAAAAGTGTAGGCTGATTTTACTCAAATTTAGGGTTTTGTCTTATGTCTATAGTTCTTCTGTGTCTTCAGTCAGAAATAGTTTTTTTAGCATTCCGGACACCTTTCCAAGCAGGGTAGGAACAAGAGGAGTTGAGACATCTTATAACGTCGTATAACATTCATAATACCAGTATTAGAATTTTTTTTGACTGTGGGATTTAAAAGCTGTTGAAAAAGTGGAGAGAATACACAGTGTTGCAACATTCAAATAATGACAAAAATACCTTACACAGAATTAAAGGTAGGTCTGTTTAGGTTATGAAAGGGCAGAAGCCTCAGAGGTCACTTGATAATGGTGTAAGTGCTTTCACAAGAGGAAGATACTGTCTGCTAAAGCACTCTTTAGTGGAGAAAGGGGAAGAGCAATGGCTGAAAGCTGAAGCTAAGTAAATTCAAATGGAAAATAAGACAGAAACTTTTAAAAACAAGAACAAATTAAAATTGGGGAAAAAGCGTCTGGTGAAAAAAGTAAGTTTTTTGTCTCTTGGTGTTCTCAAATCAAGACTTGTTGCTGTTCTGAAGGACCACACAATCTGTGTGTGACTTAATCATATAATTGGGTTAAACTTTGAGGCCTCTTCTATCCAGGATGTCAAAACAGAGAGTGTGTTTCTTTCTACTTTAAATTGATGCAACAAGCATGTGGCTTTGTAGCTATAAGTGTTTGTGGGTGTGTGTGCGCGCGTGTGCGTGTGTGCATGTGCGAGCGCACAACATATTGCCGTATTTTGCTTTTGATAAATGACATTTGAGTATGAACATCCTGTTATTCAGTGAAAGTATCAAACAAAAAAGAAAGGACATTGCGTAGTACTTTTTAGAAGGTAAGAAGGTTTCCTAGTAGCGTCCAGGTACTCTAAGAATCTCCTGTAAATTCCCCTAACTTCTCCAAACTGCTTCTGTTGTCTTGAGCTACAACTGCTTGGGCTGTCTTTTTTTTGATTGTTCCAGGTTAGAAACATGACAGGAGGTTGTAGCTTTCTGCTGTGAAACTTTGAACTGAACCAAAACCACCATGTCTCTGACCTTTATTTAGACTAACAGCCAAAACTGTACAGAACTTTTGGCTTTGATACATATGCTTTAGTGACTGCCTGAATTATTTTCTTGTTTTTAAGGAATTCATAATCAAACTCTTAAGCTGTACGTATGTGTTTTCAGAATATCCTTCTATTTTGTGTAAAGTTATTTTTTTCATTTTATTTCCTAACTTTATTATGAAATTTCCCTATTTGGTGAAATATAATCTAAATGTGTGATGTTTAACAATAAACTGAAAAAAAAAAGGTGAATTTTTTTCTCCTTTTTAGAGTAATTTATAAACTGTTGGCTTCCAAAAGTGAGAGTATATGGGTGCAAGCTTTGAAGGTCCTTGGATATTTTCTTAAGCATTTGGGTCATAAGTAAGTGTCATTTTAAAATTATTACAGTGATGTGTTTAAGTTCATAATTCTTGTCCTTTTGTGCTTATTACAGTATACTATATGACAGTCTTTTGGAACTCCTTTGAATATCATTGTTATATTTTCTGATTAATAATTTGTGGAGTCTGCAAATTGCTTTGGGATAAAATGGTAAATTTGCTAGTTAAGTTGTTACTACTATGCAATTTGAAAATAAATAATGATTATCTGCTAAATATATAATATGCTCATTTTTAAGTCTTAAAAAGACTGAAAAACATTTTCTCAAAATGCATTTTATAAATGCATGTTGCATATTCCACTATACATATCTATGTGTGGTAGGAAACACGATTATCAAAAATTTGTTGTTTGGGTACTGCCGTTTTCAGTGTCACTACAATATATGCATCTGGAGAATAATTTTTAAAATAGCTTTTAAAATAGTGGAAAGACATGAAATAGAAGGATTCAGAAGGAAAGGAAAAGCAAACACTTAAATTAAATGATTGTAAACAAGGAGGTAAAAACATACCTCTATAGAAAGGGTAGCAGGAAACAATCGCGTTTGAAATGAACCAATGTGGCAAAATGCAAGTGCTTAGTCTCATCTTCCATTATGTGGTGTTAAGAAAGAATTAAAACACATGCAGTGCTGTGTAACGTGCTGCCACCCACTTTTCCTCTTCTCTGTAGATTTTCCAATTGGAGGCTCTGCAGTATGAAAATTAGCAGTGTACTTCACAGTAGCGAGACTTCATCACGTAAAACCTCATTAGAAGAGAAAGACACTAGGAGTCCAGCCAGAGTATTGCTGTAGTGTATTGCACTTTTTTCAGTTAGATCAATAAAGTATGACTGCGTAATTGAGAGCCAGTTAGCTCAGAACATGCTGCCAAATGGGATTTTTCTTTCAGGATACAGCAAGCCAAAGAGTGTTCTGGGAAATAATGCAGCAAATTCATAATCCACGCAAAAATCTCAAAGGGCTTTTCAAACAGAATGTGCTAAGATCATTGAGATTCATAGGAGCTGGATTAAGTAAGATTTATTTCCAATACAATAATAGGTATTTTGACCAGAGGCCTGGTGTGTGTCCAGTTAAGTACATTTGTTAAAAATATTTATTGTTTACCCTATAGTCTGAGTAGTAAACTCTTTTTCAGTGAAGTGTTATAGAAAAATAAAAATAAAATTTTTAGAAGTTGAAATCTCATTTTCCGATTTTTAGGATATAATTGTAATTATGGATGTATCAGTGGAGTTTCCATTGTTGAATGAATATATTTTTCATGAACTGGAGTAGTTGAAATCCACTTGAATGTTCTGTGTGACTTTCAGGGGTTTTTTTTCAACTTTTAGACCCACGAGCATCTGTAAATGCTCACATTTTATGTAGCTTTCAGCAGCTAAAAATGGCCCATAATTTTCATATCTTATAGACAGTGCTTGTGAGATATGTATGTGTGCATGTATATATATATGCATATGCATAATTGAATAAAGTTATATTCAACTATAGGAAATTGTAAACAATTATAAAATCATAAACTACATAAAATTATAAACCACTTACATGCATAGATTTGTATATAACACTAAAGAAACAGGCATTCCACTGCCATTCTGTTTTAATATACAAAAGCAAAATTGCAGAAAAAGATGCTGTAATGCAATTTAAGATATCTACAGCATGCAGAATTAATAACCAAACATAGACATACAAAAACAGTTACCACTGCTGTAGTTCACGGGCATTCTTTGCAGGTTAGATAAGAGGTTGAATAACTTAATTGTTTTTTGTTTGTGATGATAGGCTAACTCGTTTAACCATTTTTGTCCTTAAACAGTTGGCAAAATCCTGTTCCTTCCCTTCTCTGCCATCCCTTATTCTTTATACCCTGCCACCAAAAGCAGTTCTACTCAGGGTTATTTAATTTTGTTTTAATCTGTGCATTTAAACCTTCCTAAAACAGGAGAGAGGGATTATGTATTTATGTATGTTCAATAACTTTCTACATGAAAATATACCATATCTCAAAAACAGCAGCAAATAGCTATGCAAATACATTAACCTGTAATATTTATGATATGTCTTAATATTTTGTTTTCATAATGATTAGCTATACCTGTCTTCAAGTATCTCTTTAAAATAAGGTTTTCTTCCTTTCTTTAGAAGAATTCATACATTATACATTTTCTTAGAAGGTACATCCCTCTTTACAAATAGTTCAAGTCAAACCAGCTAGCTACAAAGTTAAGTCAGGTTTAAGCAAAATTAGCATACATATTCCACTAAATTTTCATTTTAGTGTGCTGTATCATAGTTCACAGGTTGAATAGGTGTAGTTTTTCTTACAAGTAACTCATGAACACTCTTCTGTGCACTGAAAAGTACACACTGTTACAAGATGTTGCCACTGTCTTTTATGGCTACTTGAAAATTAGAATGTATTAATTTCAAAAGTTCTAAAATGAATCTGTGTGGTTTAAATCTCTATTATTTATTAATTTATTATTCCTTTAAACCTTTGTTAATCATTAATCACCAGAAAGGGAGTTTCTTACTTTTTAAAAACCAGGAAAATTTACTGTACTTTTTCATGTACTTTCATGTTGTTTTGGCTCTTTCATATAGATTATTAATTATCTTGAATATACTTTTTCATTTAGTATTTATTACAGTAGTAGATAAGATTAATAATGCAATATACAATAAACACTCCCTTTATTTACACTGTTACATGCAGTTAAAACAGAATAATATGATAGGAGAGATGAAATTCACTGATGTTTTATTTGCTAACCAGAGGCGCTTTCTTCTCTGGCTTTTAAGATTCTAGTATGTTTTGATGCTAACAGTAAAATGCTAAGTTATGCACCTCAGTCTCTTGGAATTTCATAACTCTTCAGTATTTTTTATTTCATTTGCATTATAAAATATAATATACCAGGATTTAATTATTTTGGCTGCATGAGAGAATGCTATATGGAGAGTTTGACAGTTTTGATAAAGTCTGTAAATGTTAGTGTATATGTTAGATCTAAGGATGAATAGTCCTGAGCCCTTGAGAGATGCATTCCCCAGTGATCGAACTTTTAACAGCCTGAGAAGCATAGAAAGGAATTACTTTGTTGTTTTCTGCCATGAAAATCATGGAGGATGAGAATGGTGTGCATTTGTTTTATACAAAAGCCCGTCTTGAATACAAAATAGCATTCTGAGAACCTTTGTGTATACTACAATAATATTCATTTTGAGAAATATCTTAAATGATCTTTAATTCAGGACAGTTAAGGATTTAGCATGTTTTAAAATTTTTTAGTACACCCTCAAAATACTTGGCTTTTGTGTTTTTTGCATCTAGTTAAAATCTGCAATATGCTTTCCTTTTTTTTTTTTTCCCTCCTCTAGGCGAAAGGTTGAAATCATGCATACACACAGTCTTTTCACTCTTCTGGGAGAGAGGTTGATGCTGCATACAAATACGGTGACCGTTACAACGTATAACACACTTTATGAGGTACAAATTAATTAAACATACAGATTATGATCTCTTGTAAAAATTGTGATTTAATTATATTTTTGTAATTCTGTGTTTTAAAATATTTCAATTATCTGGACCCCAAGAAAATTTTAATTGGCAGTTCTAAGATGTTATTGCTTGGTTCAGAGTTTATTTTGCTACACTTTGGATAGTTTTATAAGCAAAGTTATACTTTTTACGTATTCTCTGTAAAACTTTCCATCCATCTGTAGCATTACAAAAAGAGATAGAAAAGATTCTATTATTTAAGATGTTCATCACTTTCCAAAAAAAGAGTTACTACAGTCTGGCTGTTGCTTACTCCTCCATTGTTTGTAATGGAAAGTGCTGGAGCCAAAGGGGTGCCTTTTTTTTTTTTTTATGCAATTCCTTTCAAGCTTACAAACTTCTGAAAAGTGCTATTAAGTCTTTTTTGTTTTTACTAGTAATGTTGTTAGTAATCCAAATAGTAACTGAACACAATCACTTTGATGTAATGTAAACTGCTTAAGGCAAGTGAATATGACCTGGAAGTATTCAATTGTCTATCAGCCTCGTACAGAAAATTCAGTTTTGGTGATGTAGAATTTAGTTAAACCAAATTAGTATCGACATCAAGTTGATCCAAACCAGTGTCTTCAAGCCTCCAAATGAATAAAAGTCCTGTCCAATCTTCAAGCATTTTTTAAAATAATGACTGAGAGTTGAATCTTTTATAGTTTCTGAGCATCTTATATGCTAGGAATTTTTTTTCTTTTAGACACAAATAGGCGTAATGGCCGGATACTGAGTCTTGGATCCAAAAAAGACATAGAAAACTAAAATGGTACTTGGTATTTAAGGTTTTGAGCAATGTAGAAAACTTTTTCCTCTGATTGTAATAATCTGAACATTGTGTATTTGCCAATGACTTATTCAGATGTCAAAATTTATTTTTTATTGCAAGTATGTGAGGAATTCATTATCTTTACTAAGCTTGCCCTGTATGGTTTGACCGTTTGGGTTTCACAGTCTAGATATATCCCTGCATGCAGATTTCCTGAGGGCTTCTATAATTGATTTACTCAGAAAATACCTAAAATTCTGTGACAAAATGGAAGTCATCATGGAATGCAGCATCCACAGCCATTTACACTGGAATTGCTTTCTGTCCAACTGGAATTTCCTGACTGTTGTCTCCTGTCCTTTTCTTATCTAACTGTGAAAAGAGTCTGATTTTGTCTTCTCTGTTAACCCTCACTTAGTTGAAGACCTCAGGTAGATTCCCCTCTTTACCTTTCTCTTCTCTAGGCTAAACAAACCCAGCTCCCTCAGCCTCCTCTTGTATATTGTATGTTCCAGTCCCCTGGTTATTTGTGTGGGTCCTCTGCTGGGCTGTCTCCAGTCCTTCAAGTTTGGGGGTCCCAATCCTAGACCTAGTATGCCAGATGTGACCTCACCAGTGCTGAGCAGATCGTGCAGCAGCATACAGATCAATATATGTCTACATCATATACAATAGTATTACACAAATAGCACACTTTATGTTAAAATAATTTATATATAAATGTATAATGGTATTTTGTCTTAATTTTACTAGGTGTTCTGCAGGCACTTTTCTGTATGTATAGAACTGACTTCTCCGAATTGCTTAGTTATAAGGATTTTTGAAAGATATGCTGAAAATATTTTTTCATCTTCTGAAAGTTTCAGAGCAACGTTTTGAATTTCACTCCTCTTTTAAATCTATAACTTTGCATTAGACTTTTGAGGATTCCTGTTAGTGACATGTTTCTTAATGCAACATCCAAATCTGAAGTCTTCTGAGGAGTGATGGGTGTTTTTAAGCTCTTTCAGAATCATATCACAGATTTAGAAATTTGTACTGCATTTTCATGTCAATACTGATGGAAATTCTTTTTAGTTGATTGATACCAAGTGTTAGTATAGCAGAGACAATTGCTCTGCTTTTATTCCAGTTTTTGAAAAGCCTTTTTAATACCAAGAATATCTCAAGTAACATAAACCAAACTTTTTAATGAAGTATGCCTGTATTTTTCTTACATGTCCTTATATGTTATTCCTTAATGGATCTTAGACTTGAATAATTCATTGTTTTCACCAGCCTTGTGGTTAAATAGCCTTAGGTCAGTTTCTGCAGATGAAATTTATATGGAAGTTGTTTGTGGTTCACAGCAAAATTTAATCAATTGACTTCACTTTTAATGCTGTTTCAGAAGCTTCCAGAATCCTTGCTTAGTTGTCAGTATGTTTAGCCATGATTGAGTTTAAGAAATAAAATGAGACATTCTACTTGTGGGTCTCTTAACTATAGCTGATGTCTTTATTCAACATCTGTGTTACACTACATTTACTTAGAGGTTGACATATACTTAGAGCCATTTCACATTCCTTTGGACTATTTGAAGCAATTATGGCAATTTTACTTACTATAGCATCCACTTATCAGTGGTACTAACAACAGGAAATTTAAATTTGACAATAGATAGTGTGGTGACATGAATTACTTCATTAGGAAAATGACAGGTGCTTCAAATAAAACTTCGTGTTTCTATTCTTCTGTGGGATAATTTTAAACAGATTAAGATAAACACGTTAAGATCAACATGGAATGGAATTAGGATTTTAAGACAATTCTCTACCCGTTATTCACCATCTTTGTCCTGAAGAAATACCATTTTGAGTCAAACGGCAAGTGCCACACATAAGATTTTATCTTTTTGTAATGTAAGGCTTACACAGACCCATATATTTAAAACACCATTGTTTTATAGTTAGCCAGCTCAATAAAAAATTAGTTAGCGAACCATATTTCATCTGTGAAAGTCTTGTTCCTTGCATAGAGGAATTTCCTTGTTTCCATTCTTAGAGGAATAGAAATATTTTACCAAAATTTATTATATGAAGTTATGATGTAGCAATGGTGAATGTTCTTCTTAACAAATTAAGCAATAACAAAGAAATCATATGAAGTAGAGTTTAAGTAAAAAATGGTAAAAGGAACTTAATATTCTGTCTTTTAGATTTTAACAGAACAAGTATGCACTCAAGTTGTTCATAAACCACATCCAGAGCCAGATTCTACAGTGAAAATTCAGAATCCAAGTAAGGACCATATATTATGTTTATATGATAAAAATATTAGCTAAATTTTTTTTGAAAGGAGATGTTTCAGAAAGCAGGAGAAATTCATTAGAATATCTCAAATACATTTGAGTTATTTACATTAGTTGCTGTCAGCAACTTTTTTTTTTTACAAATTTTTTTAACTGTGTTATGTAACTGATTTATTTTTTCAAAGTGATTCTTAAGGTGGTGGCAACACTGTTAAAAAACTCCACACCAAGTGCAGAGCTGATGGAAGTTCGACGTTTGTTCTTATCCGATATGATAAAACTTTTCAGTAATAGCCGTGAAAACAGAAGGTATGTTACTACAAATAGTTTTTTCTCACTAGTATGAGTGTTGATATCCTTGACTTGGGTGTATCATCGATTTGTTTTACTGTATGTAGAGTTTTATGCCATATATTAAAAGGAATATTAAAATAAATGAAATATGGTTTGGTAACTCTTCTTAAGTCAGCAACTAATATTTGGTTCTTCTGTTCAGAATACACTTAAGTTGTTTTATTGATCCTGAAGTATTTAAAGTCTGTTATTAACACTGGATTCATGTTCAGAGGAGATGAACCGTATTATTTTCCTCCTATTTTAACCATCTCAATGTCAAAGTAAAGAAGCTTCGTTTGGATATATTTTGACCTAATTATTTCACTTTAGATGTTTACTTCAGTGTTCAGTGTGGCAGGACTGGATGTTTTCTCTGGGATACATTAACCCTAAGAACTCTGAAGAACAGAAGATCACAGAAATGGTTTACAACATTTTCCGTATTCTCTTGTATCATGCAATAAAATATGAATGGGGAGGATGGAGAGTGTGGGTGGATACTCTTTCTATAGCTCATTCCAAGGTAAGAAAATGTTCATGGATGATTTTTTTTAATCCTAATAATTCCCCCAAAGCAGCTAGAAATAAAGTAGACAAGATTTTAAATGATTTAGTGCCACCTGGTGGCTATCAGAACATATGTCAAGGTGGCATTTTTTATCATCAGTGTAGGTCCATTGCTGTGAAACGTTCTGTGAGCCATATGTATTAAGTATTAAGTAGTTAGCATTCTTATCTGTTTTTGTCAGACTTAATGTAGATATTTGTCCACATAATCTGTTCTTTTCTTTTTAAGGTCACATATGAGGCTCACAAGGAGTACCTAGCAAAAATGTATGAAGAATATCAAAGGCAAGAGGAAGAGAATATAAAAAAAGGGAAAAAGGGGAATGTGAGCACTATCTCAGGTCTTTCATCTCAGACAACAGGAGCAAAAGGTGGAATGGAAATTCGAGAGATAGAAGACCTTTCACAAAGCCAAAGTCCCGAAAGTGAAACAGATTACCCTGTTAGTACAGATACCAGGGACTTGCTTATGGCTACAAAGGTGTCAGATGATGTTCTTGGAAGTGCTGAGAGACCAGGAGGAGGAGTACATGTGGAAGTTCATGACCTCTTAGTTGATATAAAAGCTGAAAAGGTAGAAGCGACTGAAGTAAAACTTGATGATATGGATTTATCACCAGAGACGTTGGTAACTGGAGAAAATGGTGCACTTGTGGAAGTTGAATCTCTTTTAGATAATGTATATAGTGCTGCTGTTGAGAAACTCCAAAATAATGTTCATGGAAGTGTGGGTATTATTAAGAAAAATGAGGAAAAAGATAATGGTCCATTAATAACTCTGGCTGATGAGAAAGATGAACCTTCTACTAACAGTACCTCATTTCTCTTTGATAAAATACCTAGTCAAGAGGAGAAACTTCTACCTGAACTTTCAAGTAATCATATTTCTATTCCAAATGTGCAAGAGACGCAAATGCATCTTGGTGTAAATGATGATTTGGGATTGCTTGCACATATGACAGGTAGTGTAGATATAACATGTCCTTCAAGTATAATAGAGGACAAGGAGTTCAAGATTCATACAACTTCAGATGGAGTGAGTAGTATTTCTGAGAGGGAATTGGCTTCATCATCTAAAGGATTAGAATATGCTGAAATGACTGCCACAACTCTTGAGACAGAGTCTTCTGGTAGCAAAACTGTTCCTAATGTTGATGCTGGAAGTATAATATCAGACACAGAAAGATCTGATGATGGTAAGGAAGCAGGAAAGGAGATAAGGAAGATCCAGACAACTACCACAACCCAAGTAAGTTTCAAGTGCTGTGGCCTTGTATGTGTCTGATGTAATCAGTGTCCTTTGCTGCTGGGTAAATTATTGGTATGAGGCCTGACAGGTGTTTGAAATACTTTTCTTTAATTATATGAGAGGAGTCCATCTTCCAAGCCTATCTGCTTTCAAAAGAATGATGCCATTACATGTGTAAGACACTGTGAAGTCTTTTATGACTGTATAGAAAATATGTATTTCAGTTGTGGATATTTTAATTTAAAAACTTAGCTAGGGGAACCTCTCATTCTTTTCCCTTATTTCTTGTAGACAGATTAACGAATGCTCTTATAATTCTGCCTCAGGCCTCCAGATTCTTGTTTGCATATTTTTTAAGATTAGTAATATATTTATTTTATTACAAAATGTGCATTTAACTGTTTCTTTACTCTTGCTTAACCTTCCTTAGAATGTAATTTGTCTTACAGTACTTAGTGCACCTTCCAGTACAGGAATGCAGGCATAAATGATCCCTATATTATTTGATCTAGGCACAAGAAAAGGAATGACTTAGGAGTAATAGAAGACAAACTGTGATTTGATTTTCCAAACTGGAGATCTTTAAAAGAAGAGGTATCTCCCTTCTTCTCAGAGATGCTTTCCTGTCAAGGACTGTCTCTGAAAATCCTACTTCTTAATGTTTTTGTGAAAGACACAGCATCCTGAAGATAGAAAGGCCTAGGTTAGAAGCTTACTCTTTCAAAGAGTTTGTGCTTGTATAGGCAATAAAAAATTGGGTTCTTTTTGTATTTTTGGAGCACAGAATTAATTTCCTCACTATCATTGTTCAGAGACTATAGCACTTAGTCAAAGATTACTTGTAAGGATGTTGTCAGCTGAAAAAAGCGGCTATCTTAAAGATTTAACTATCTTACTACTCTCAGTGTCCAGTATGTGTGCTAATACCGATCTCCTACAATTCTGAAGTCAAACAGACTTCCTGAAATTGTGGAGGAAGAGCCAGTGCTTGCAAAAATTGCTCTGCCTAGTAGTGTGTAGTGCACACCATGTCATCAGGAAGAGTTTCTAAGATACACTGACACTCAAAGTGGATGTCTGATAAAAGGACACAGATCAGCTTGTTCACACTGTTCTTCAGGAAGAGCTTTCAGAAATATTTTTTAAAAAACAATTATCAGCAGTGCAGCCACCAGGATTGCTGTTATCCTCTGCTCACTTTTTCTGGTGTTTTGAAATATCCTGTGAAATGTAAGCTGTCTGTAGATAAATTCCTTTCTCTTCAAATGAAGATAACTCTAATAAAATTAGATAAAGATACATATTAAATAAAGTATTAAATTGAGGTTTATAATTTTCATGAGTAAAGAGCAATGGTAAAATTAACCAGTCTACAGTTCAACTGGAGGCTGGACTTTTGACTGTGATATATGTAGGCAGTCCCACGTTAGCTTTGACCTCAGCTCAGAGAATAGCAGCTAAACACTGAACGTGGCTTTCTGCTTTTTTAAAGACTAGACACCCAGGCAGATAGTTGGGTTTCATGGCCGTTTATACAACACACATTAAAGCCCATCGATACAATATGGTCTGTTGGCTAGTTAAAAGCTGTCTCTTTATGGTACAGTTATGATACTGTTCAAATCTTAGTGCCCGAGAGTAGAGGAAAGGCTATAAACACAGAAAGGCAATTCTAAGAAGAAGAGTAACAGTAACACTGTTTATCTTAACAGGTCAAACTGAATGAGCTATAAACCCATGCTACTCGCAAAATGCAGGCTATGAAAGGTCAAAATTAGACTAAAGATCAGATGAGCTTTCCAGCCAAACTCCAGTGCCATTTCCATTTTTACAGTGCTAGCATGAATATTTCATAACTGTCTTTTTGCTTATGGTCATCCAGATTTAAAGCAGTGTGCAAAGATCAGGAAATGAATTTGTGAGCAATGCAAGTATTTTTTCTTATGCCTAATATGTTGCCAGTTTAAAGCTAATCTAATCTCATTTTAAAATAATCCTAAGGAACAGACTTTGTATTTCTTCCTTTCAGAGATATTGCATAATAAAAATAATTTCATTGTTATGAATGTTTACCTCATATTCAATCTAAATGTTATTTCTTTACTACTTTTTTCCTTCACAGTGTTTCCCATCATATCCTCTGTGTGTATCTTTTAGTTTTGTCTTTATTCACCAAGTGGAAACAGTGTAGGTATTGAAAGGGTATAAAATTCAAGTCAGCTGTCTGTTGGGAGAATGTATAGATTGTCCTGAGGATCCATAAAAACAATTAACAGTATATAAAAAAATTGGCAAAATGACATTTGGGAAAAACGAGATTGAATTCTTCAATGATCCTGATAAAAAGACCAAGTTAATAAATTCATTTTGGAGAATGATGAGCTGTTTAAGTATACTGATTCCTTGAAGCCATCCATGTTTTAAATCAGACATTCAAAGAAAATTGTGATATCTGCACAAAAGAACAGTTACTTCCTGTAGTTACTTCCTACAAAATCTTATTGCTGTTGCCCTTGTGCATGCTGCATTTGGTCTTGTAATATTTCAGGTGAGGATCCTAAATGTAAAACATCAGGAAATACCTGAAAATAAGGCAAGCCATAGGCCCCAAGTGCGGATTGATTTGAATTGGAGTATTTCCTTTATTGAATGATACTGCCCACACTGGGAAAACATTATCTCCTGTCGTTTGTGCTTGAGTTCAGTTTGAGCCAGTCCTTTCTCAAATTCTGTGATCCATTCCTAAATACATTACAACATCTTAACACGATTTCTGAACTTCTTGTTAACGTAGGCGGTGCAGGGTCGGTCTGTCACCCAGCAAGACCGAGATTTACGCGTTGACTTGGGATTTCGAGGAATGCCAATGACAGAAGAGCAGCGACGACAGTTTAGTCCAGGTCCACGCACAACTATGTTTCGTATTCCAGAATTTAAATGGTCTCCGATGCACCAGAGGCTCCTGACAGATTTGCTATTTGCACTAGAAACAGATGTACATGTTTGGAGAAGGTAGATGGTTGCTTCTTATTTAACTCCTCTTGTGTGTTTCTGTCAGCAAGGAAAAATTAGACGGCACTTGTGTTGTAGAGGGTAGTTACTGAGATACAGGGGAGGGGAGAGAGTTACTGTAAGATGAAGTGCCCCTCTGTATCTTCTCTTTTCACCCCTTCCCAGCCAGCACCAGCACTGTTTCGCAGGTATCAATTTCTCCTTTCTTCAGAGATTGTACAACTCATAGCTAACTAAACTGAGCTGCTACCTCAGCTTATATATTAACGTTAGAATGTGCTGCTTCTGTTTCAGACCTGAGGAAGACTTGTGTGTCTGTTACTTGCTTCTATTTCAGTTAGTCTATTTAAGAGATACCTTCTACAGACATCTTATAAATAAAAAATGTTTCCTAGAAAGTTTTCTAAGGAATCACTTTTTCTGGCTGATCTTTTTTTTTATTTTGTGTGCCAACTCCTGGCTGTAGTTAGTCTTGGCAGTGGTATTGCTGCTTTTGACAGCAATGTGATTTCCTATTTTTTGTGCACTTTAACAGAGACATACAATAACTTATTATTATCAAAGCCCTTAGGTATAAAAGACATTATTTAATCTAATTTCCAAAATGGAATAAGTCATTTTCAGAAAACTTTAGCTTAATTATGTCAGAGGAACACTTTGTATTACATTTAATTTCCAGTTTCGTGAACTATTCTGCGATAGTCACTAGGAAGTAGACCGTTTCAGGTTTTGTTTTGTTTTGTTTTTGCCGAAAGTCTTTTACTTGTCCTCTGTGTTTTGTTGATACTTGGAAATTAGGATTTTAGTTTGCACTTAGTTTCAGTTTAAACCATTAATTTTTGTTTACTGGCTGGCACCAAGGTTGTTTGGGAAAAGAACATACCATTAGTAGGCCAAGTATTCCTCAATATTGTGATGGTGATTTATAGTTTTAGGGAGTGACTGTTTCATGGGACATTTTTTCACCAGTATTGAGTTACTGAGATTTCCATTAATCATATCAGCATCTGTATAAAGCTATCGCTAATGTATAGAGTTAATATTAGGAAAATCTTAGCTCTAGGAGATTTTAGGAAATATTTTAGTTTTCTCTTATAAGAATTTACTGAATATAAGTCAGGTCAAGGTATCACCAGATCATCCATTTACTGACTGGCAGTCTAACAGATCAGCCTGTAGGAGTGACAGAAAAAAATACCAACACCAAGAGCATCTGTGTAATTGCATTTTAAGTGTTATGAGGGCTGCTTTAAGTGACACTGTCATGTGATATGATGAACTCTATTAATACTGAATATGAACTTTCACTCTGAAGAAACAGCCCTATTGCTTTCAGTAGAACTGCCTGTGAAGTAAAGTAGTGTTTGATGGGAATAAAAGGTTATGAGCCATTTTTCTGGGTGGTGTATCTGAAAGTAATCCTGGTGTGAAGTTAGATAGCTGTGAATTCATATGTTAGACTAGTTCTGTTACACGTGTAAAGTTTTGTAGCAAAGGTTTTATCTTTATCTCTGAAAAACATTCATGTTCTAGTTGCAAAGAATAATTAAACTTTCATTTAAGATGTTTGTTTTTAATTCATCCATTTTTCTATTCTTGCAGTCACTCCACAAAGTCTGTGATGGACTTTGTCAATAGCAATGAAAATATTATTTTTGTACACAACACAATACACCTCATTTCCCAGATGGTAGACAATATTATTATTGCTTGTGGAGGAATTTTACCATTGCTGTCAGCAGCCACATCCCCAACTGTAAGTACAATATTTCCACCTAGTGGTCATATTAGAAGTTGCTGTATAAAAATAATATGCGCCACTCCTTACAACTGACTTTTTTTTTTTAGTGACTCCCCTCCCCTCCCTGCTAATTCCTTCCAAAAAATTGAAATTTATGATCAAAACTTTTAAGGTTCAATTTACAGAGTGTTTGTAATAATTTGAAATGTTAATTTTATTAGAGTAGCAGTAGTAAGAAGGAATAGTAATATTTCATAGGTATTTAACATTTCATTTGAAAGACAAGACTGTTAGAAGAAAAGTGGTTACTGTAACAAAATTACATACTTTATCCTGCCTAGTCATTGATATTCGTAACTCTGATCTGCATGGCCACCGTTTATTTGCCTGCCAAATGGCAATAGAATTCATCCTCCCCCTAGTCCTTCTTTTAGTTGGTCCTGACTTTCTTTTCCTTTTCTTTATCCCTTATTGAAGGAAACTGATTTTCCTCTCCTGTGGGGGTCGCTTCTTAGGTGACTGCAGTTCAGGCAGGTAAAATAGTCTAATGGAATGTTTCATGGAAGAAGGGAGAGATGCTTTGTATATATTGCATTATTGCCAATAGTAAGTAATTGCAGCATTGGTGCGATGCCTTATCTGTACATATAAAATAGGCAGTCATCTTTTGCATGCTAAATATTTTATCTCATACATCCCATAAGGTTTTACGGTTAATATTGGTCTTTCAAAGGGGTGAAAATGAGGCACAGAAGGGATAAAGTAGTGCAGCTAGTAAGCACTGGAGACTAGAAATATAATTAGCAATATAAGCTCAATTTCTTGCTATAGCCTTTCATCAACTGGGATTACTTTGCCTCTTATTCCTTCTAGTTAGTTAACAAAAAATATTTTTCGCTATTTTATTTGAAAAGTATGAAATGTATGGGCTAGCAGTTGGTTAAACATTAATATTACCCTCAGCCAGACAATTAATGGAGAAATGCTGTATCTGTTTTATTTTTACTATGTAAAATAGAAAAGAAAATTATTTGCTATGACAAAAAGTGCAGGACTCATCGGAAGGACTTATTTCACTATTTGTAGTCACAAGAATGAAATCAAGTATGTTGAATAAAAGATTTTGTGAGTGTTACATTATAACGAACGTTGACAGGTATGAGTGAAACCGTACCAGCCCATCTTGAGATGAAAGCTGTACTATGAATCTTTAGAAAAAAGTACATTGAGGGATATTTTTGAAAAGAAAACTTTGACATCTTTAATTTAAAAATATGAAACAATGACAACTTGAATTAGAATGCAATTCCATCAAATGATGTTGGTGGTGTTAGTTTTTTTTTTTTTTATCTTGGTTTTTGACTTTGGAGAGCCATTGTATAGAATAATAACTTTGCAATTTGCCATTGGCCTTTATTTATTCTGTCTGCTTGCTAGAAGTCTAGTTCACATGTAAATACTACAAGCAGACAGCTAAACTTACTCTGATCTCTTACAGAATTTCATCCTATTTTATCATCCCAAAATAAGGATGGGGTGGGATGCCAGTGTTTATTTTTTGGCCTATAGCCTTTTTGCCTTTATATTTCATTAGTCTAGATCAAAAAGTAAATACATTTTTAAAAGAAGGGGCAAGTTGCATGGACTACACCACAGATATGACTCACTGGGAGGAAATAAGTTACTACTTTAAAGTTTCAATGTGGATCTAAAAGGTATTTAGGAATATTACACGTGGTTTGAGAATTGCTAGACATTAAGGATTAGAAAGGAAAAAATGAGGTGAAATGAACTCAGTCTTGTTGATATGAATATATGTAATCTACAGGATCTACAGAATGGGAGGGTTTTTGACACCCTGTGCAAACAGAAAAGCTGCACAGAATTGAGATAAGGATATTCAGAGGTACTTAATGACTTCCAAAAACGGACAGACTAAACCAGGTGAAGACTACACTTCAAAACAGGAGATATGACTGAAGTCTACAAAGTCATGAACAATATGGAGATGAAGAGAAAAAGTGACTAACCATTCTTTTTGTAGCATAAGTAGTAACGCATATAATGACCTTATACTTATATGCAGCAGGCTTACAAAAAAAAAAAAAAAAAAAGGACGTGCTTCAGAGGCACAGTTACTTTATGAAACTCGTTGCCATAGGATGTGATGGAGCCTAAAAGACTAAAGTAGGTTGAAAAAAATGAGGTAAACTCTAGAAGGATAAGTCTCTCTGTAGCTATTAAACATGATAGTCTGGACACCCTCTCTAGCTTTTAAAATCCTAAATACTGTAAAGGAGTATTAGTAGAGTGATCAATATGCCTGCTCAGATTTCTGTATTCTTCCATAAACTGCAGCCGATCACTGCTGGAGGCAGAATGCTAGGGTAGACAGACCCTTGAGCTGACCTAGTATGGCAGTTAATGTAAGATATGAGCAGCTCTCTCTCATAATAGTAGTACAGTGCTGTTTCACTGAACTCTTAATACAGTGCCTAGGTTAAATTATATAAATGAATGATTTCTTTCCACAAGATACGCAGTCAAAATTTTATGTTGTAGCTCATAAATCAAATATTTTCCTCAACAGTCTAAGATAATCCTTTTTTCTACCATTTTTGGTAAAAATTTTTAAATATACAAACATACCACGAATAATTGAGAAACTGTGTTGGTGAAAGAACAACACTGTGACATTTTCTTTAAAAAGATGACTACTTGAGGAATTTCCCAGTTCAATAAGGCTTTTTCCTTTGCATAGTTACGATTTGTGCTGAGATGGCAATTCTACTGGGCTGGGTAGAAGATTACTCTGTGTACCCCTTGTCTGTTGTGGAATGGTCAATCTTTAATTCTGGAATTTCTTTGCTGTTGAATGCTTGCAGTAGAACTCTGTCATATGCATTTTACCTAGCCTTTTTTTTTCCTTTTTAAAGTATATTCCTTATATTAGCAGCCATATGTGTGGCCAGCTGATCATGTCTATCCAGGAAAGAGAGTAGTTGAAATTTCTAGTAGAGTTTTCTGGTGCTATAGCAAGATAGAAAACTTAGTCGCTTGGGGCTGCATTGGGACTTTCATCAGCAACCACAATTAAAAAATGAAATACCTGGAAATATTGAAATCTATCCTGAAAAGTTTGAAAAGTTATATAGTTTTTTTATCTCAAATACTTTAGATTTCGGAGTATATTTTAACTTTCAAAATATTTATAAGAATGAAATAAAATTCTGATATTCTATCAGAGTACTTAGGGTGATTTCTTTAAGAGCAAAGTTGAAGTGCATTGCAAATATTTTGCAGATTGTACTAGGATAATTTGAATAGCGGATAAGAACTCCTTATTGTGGATAAGAACCATTAAATATGTATAGGAAGAAGAAAAAAACTTTGTTGTCATGCTGCATATAGCCTGATGCATTATCGGTGAAAACAAACCGAGAAACCATCAAATTTGTAACTGACTCAAGAGTAGACTGAAGATTATACATTTTTGTGGAATACTGTGGGAAGCTTACTGTAATTCTATGAAATCTATTCCCGATATTTCAGTATTCCCCTTGGTTTCAATTATGTACTACCTCTGTTTCAGAGTCTGTGCAAGGACTTGCTCCAAATGCTGATATTTTCAAAGAGCTGTAAATTATACATCTGAAAAGAAATGAAATATAAGCAAATACTAATGAAAAATATGACAAGATCTGTTGCTTTACAACAGCTGGAGGGTGTTCCACTGTTGATTCTGACATCATGCTTATCAAATTGAGGGTATTAAATAACTGCAAAAATTATGGGGCAGAAGGGTTATAAAATATTAAGTGCGGATTAACTTTGTTTCTGTGGGTGAGATCTTTGAGTTTTCTGAACTACAGGTATAAAAACGACTTTCTTAAGATGGTGTGAAAGTGTTAAATAAGCATATCTGAGAAATTAGAAGAAGTAAGATCTGCAGAAGATGCCTTCTGTCAATAGAAGCAGTTGGTTGCCAAATAAAACCCTTTGTGTACAAACTAGGAATCTGAAACAATCATTTGTTACTACAAGGGTAGCAGCTGTGACAAGGACTCGAGGACATGGAGTGCGGCAGAAGAAATACATCTGAGGAGTTGAAATAACTCTGAAAATGGAGAGTAAATTTCTAGCCCCCTTGAAATTAATTAGTTTTTCCATTGATTCTGTGAAGTCTAGAATTTTAATTCTTGTTTACAGCATTTAAAACAGCAGCTCTTAAACTATGATCTGAAGACTGCTGGTGTTATATGAGTTTCTGTGTATAAATCTCAATAAAACATTTAAAGACATCCTTATTAGTTCTGTGGATTAAAAGCGAGGACAGAATATTTTTCTATGCATTCAGTGTATAGCGTTAACCTTATTATGTTCATGACTCATGTGATGGGACAGGTACAGTGTGATCTATGAGCAGTTCTGAGTATCAACAGTAGTATGTTGTGAGCTAGTAATCTAGAGAAAACAACCATAGGTTGATCCTCAAGATGTGTCCAGCTATAGAAGAGGCAGACCAATTTAAAAAATGCCAGAACGCTATCTTTCCTGTTCCGAAAGGAAAGTGTTTTTTTCCGGATTCTTTTTCTTTCTACCAGATTAGATTTTTCCACTATTTAAACTATAAAAATACTGAAATACTCTTGAAAAATCCCATTTTTTTCTGCACTTTTTTGGCATTTGAGTTTTTTTCTGTGCTTTTATCATCAACATACTGAAGATATTTGATGATTTTTAAACAGGGAATATTACAATTATTTTAACTGCTAGAGAGTGATAATTTGGTCATAGATTACTTTCGGAACTTCTCATGATCGATTTTCATTTTCAGATCATCTTGTAGTGTAGATACTATGTTCTTCTGTCTTTCTTCTTTACAAGATTGTAAGAAGACAAAATATCTCTTTTCTTTTTTATTAACTCAAGTTTTATTTAAATATAACCTGTGAAAACTTAAGGATTAGTTCCAAGCCTGTTGAGTAAAGAGAGAGGGCTGTTCTACTCAAAACAAAAACATGAAATTTAATGCAACTGTTTAACTGTGAACATTGGAATTTGAGGACTAACCCAGTCCTAGGGACTGGATGAATCTTTAGGATTTTTCTGTGGTTCAGAAGCATTCAAGTATCCAGCACAATATTGGTTTAAGTTGAAGAAATCACACCCAAATGTAATCTATGAAATGAGCTATCTTTTGTTCCTTCAAATGAAGGAGTATTATGCGAGAAGAACCAGTTTGCTTTTTGTGATTTATATTTGTTTTGTCAAAGCATTTTAAACATATTTGCCTCCTCAAAAAAAGATTAACTACTTCATTACATCTCAGTAGAAGGGTTTGTTGTAAAATGCTCATTTTATTTCTATGTTTTATATAATTAGTGAAAACACCACTTTGGTCTACATTGCTTCACAAAATTGCTCTATGTACTATATAAAATAAGTCCTTTGGTTTGGAGGAATCAGTGTTTACATGAACTCCATAATAATGCAAGATTTATGATTTTTCCTTTCTTATGCATAGCTATCTATAGAAATCTTTATTTCTAAATGTTCATGCTAAGCTGAAATGTCCCATTATTCTAGTTATAAATTAATCAATGTATAATTGCAAGATACTAATTTGTTTCAATTTTACATTGTATTTTTAGTTAACTTAAATAATTTTCTTTTTCTTTTATTGTTGTGATCTGTTGTCTGTTTTGTCTGTTGCATGTCCAGGGTTCTAAGGTTAGTATTGCTGCTGTAAGTTTCAGTTTTTGCATTTTCAAAAATTTCTTATTTTCCATAATTTCATATTTTGGCTTTTTAATTTATTTTCTATACCATATAGTAGGATGTGAGTAGGAATATATCGGGCGTATTGATTAACTTTTCCTAAAATGTTTCCCTTCAGTAACGTAGTGCATTGTCAAGTATAATGCTTACTGTTAACTGCAAAACTGTAGGCGGGTTGACAAGCTAACTTAAGTTATAGATGTGGTTGTCAGTAGAAGAACACTTTAGGCTCTGAACGTATAATTGTATGGGAGACATCTTATTGCTCTTAGAATATACAGAGTAGACATGGAATGGCGATCAGTGCATTTTATTTAAGCGTTTTTAAATCACAGCAGTGTAAAATATTGCTGATATCTGAAGGCAGCTTGATCAACAAGGGAACTTATTTCAAATGTTGTTAGAATATCAATGTACTGTATTTATCAGGTAGAGTTGATGGTAAGTTTTGCCATAAAAATTACCGTCTTTTTTGTTTGTTTTTTGTTTTTTCTCTTCCAGCTGAATTTTAGGGTGATTTTAGAAAGAAGATAGTGATTATTTTTCTATTCAGAGTTTGCAAAAATCCTGATAAAATACACTAAAAAGTGATATAAAATAAATGTATTTCATAACTTGGGAAAAATAAAATAACAGATATTCTGAGAAGGTTACAAAAATCCCCCCCCCAGTCCCAAGAGTGTGATTGATGCAGTACAGTTAAGCTTGAGAAAAACATACAGCAGGCCGTCAATAGGCTGCTAGCAAGTATCTTTGATGTTATTTCAAGTATGAGTTCAAAGCACAAGCTTCTGTAACCACCTTTTCTAAGCTTTTCCAGGAGACTGTTAGCACTACAGATTTTTGCAGTTCTATTGTCTTTGGACAAGTGCTTTTGGAAATTATATCCCAATCTATTATGAAAAGTAACAACTTACTTTTTCTAAAAGTAGGAAAACAACACAGGCAAAGCAGGGAAGACCTGTCTCAAGAGAGGCTAGTAATAGTTCTTCTGAGGTTTAATTGTTGTTTCACTGTTTCTCTGATCTTGCTGCACAGATCCAAAAGGTGACAGCGCTTCCCAAATCACCCATGTAACGGGCGTGTTGCATCCTTACGACAAATGAAATGAAGTGTGATCTGTCGTTGCGATGACACATGCCACATGATATCTTGCCCGTTTCAAAACAGTTGTTTCCTTAATACTGTTTGGCAGAGCTTGCCCTGTTAACTTGTTATGATCTACACTATTTTGAAAAGTAACTCTTGAGTGAGAATACTCATTTTCTAGAAATAGGGAAATAAAGGGTTTTTAGTTTGTCCCTGTTTTTTTTTCCTTTTGAAAGAAATGTCCTTAACAGCACAAAATGTATTTTAAACTTTTTTTCACAGAAGAAATATAAGGAAAATGAAAGTAATACTTATAAGTAAAACATATAAGTAATACGATAAGTAATATATATAATGCAGTGTAAGTAATAAGTAATACCAAGTAACCAAACTCTGTGTTCAGTACAGGTTTGGGATCTGAAATCTTGCTGACAATCAGTAAGAATCAAGCATCTACGGAATTTTTAAAACAGTGTTTAGACATACAAATGTCAAGTCAAATACTGATCACAAATATTACAGTCAAGTACTAAGTCCAGTTTTCAATTGTGCCTAGCTCCAGAGGTAAAAATAAGGGTTAGCTACTTAGGCAGATTTTTTTTTTAATTAAACATACTATTTACTCACTTATCTGCAGTGTCAGACACCTAAATGCTTTTGAAAACAAGTCTCTACACATTCAAGTATCTTTTTGGAGAAAAACATGACCCCTTTTTAGATTTAAGAAATAATGAACTCATTTACCATTTTTCTGTGGATTCCTGTTAAGGAGAGTACAACACTACATTAGAAAGAAAACTGTGATTCTGTGGGAAGTGTAAGCTGCATGCCATATAACTTTGTCACATTTTTGCTTTCTCCCTGTCACTCTAGTGAGTAAACGTACTGTCTTCTAGAAATCAGAAGAACTGAACTCTTGTCAGGTTGCTGTAGGGTAGTAAGCATTCCCAGGGGAGAAACAATTTGTGGAAGCAAAGCCAAACTGGTTTTCTCCACTCTCCACTTCTTACATCTATTTGTTTGTGTAGAGGATTATAGGAGCTATACAGAGTGTGACTACCTTAGTGTGCTACCATTATGCTATCAGTTTGGTTAGCCTATGGAAGACCGTAAGAAAATGTTACACCCGGTTATACCTTGCACTGTTTTAAGTAGCTGACCACACTTGCTGTTATGTAATTCCTAGCAATTTTCTCATTTATATTAAATTTTTTATTCCCTAATAGAGCATGTGAATGTAAATGTTTTGTTTCACTCTTCATGCTGTCTTACTTTGAATTTCACTCATAATTTATGTTAATGGCAATAATAGCAGGTTATTAATAACTTTTTCATGTATTTATCTACCGTGAAGTGTAACAATGTAGATTTTAATGTGTATGTGATACCTTTATATTTAATTTGCATTCAAACTATGTTTAATTTAATTATCTCCTTTTAAAGACGGAACTGGAAAATATTGAAGTGACCCAAGGAATGTCAGCAGAGACAGCAGTAACTTTTCTCAGCCGTCTGATGGCAATGGTTGATGTACTGGTATTTGCCAGTTCTCTAAATTTCAGTGAGATTGAAGCTGAAAAAAACATGTCTTCTGGAGGTTTAATGCGACAGTGCCTAAGGCTTGGTAAGTTTGCAGACAGCGTGCTTAAATAATTACTTACAGATCAATGAGCTAAAGCTAGACCAAGTAATGACACATGCAGGAAATGACCTTGTACCGACTATGTTGTGATAGATCAAAAACCCCCAAATTATTACTGACCTGATACTGTGTTAAGGTTGATTCTATTCCAGCACAAAAATAGATCAAACTGACACGTTCAAAATTATTCTTACTTATGCTTTTCAAGTTGTACATCTTTTTTAGGGAGTAAAAATATTAAAGAAAGGTAATTAAACAGAGAAAAAATAGTCTTCCTAAAAATTGCTCTGCTACACATCTTTTGCAAAATTCCATGTCCAAGTGTCTGTAGATTCAGTAAGTTACCTATAGGCTATGTAGGATTAAAAGTTTGGAATGTTAGTGCAGACTCTGCAGACCTCAGTATATTTCAACAGACCTAACACCTATCTTTCCTGTTTACTTTAGTGTATATTTATATACTGTATGTACTGTGCCTGTTACAGTTGTACAGTTATAGAGTTTTTTGGTTGGGTAAGTACATTGTTCCAAACATGAACATTTTGAATTGATTCATATAGAAATCATTATCTTCACTCATTTACCCCTGCCTGTTACACTGAGCAGAAATTCTCTGAATTGTGTAAAGCTCAGGTCAAGATCTTTGCTATATATGCAGTTGCAATTAATTTAGGACATTTAAAGGTTTTATAATAATTTAGAATATTCTATTCAACCTACATGACTTAATAGTTGTGAGCATTTAGTTTAGTTTGTCAGTGTGATGCTCTTTCTCTAGTGCTGAGTCGCACATACTTTCTTACCTTTCAGATGTTGAATAATTTTTACGTTTCAGTTTTGTCCTACTATTACTCATACCGCCTATTGGGTTATTGGTAATTATACTGATACCAGTATAAAACTTATAGTTTATCCTCAATGATCATTTTTCATCAAATCATAAATTAATCCTACTATTTTTCCTGTTCTAGCCATACAACCCTGAAAGAATTCTAGCTGTACGAAAGTGCTTTCAGGATCTTAAGTGCTGGTAACTATCAATAAGATAGGGTAGCTCTATTTCAGGGACCAATACTCCATTGTCAAATTTTAACCTGTCAATATAGCAGTTAAATAAAACATACATTTGTTCAACTAAAGAACGAATGAGAAAGTCACCGTGATGTTCTCTTCGTATCAACAGCGTCTAATGTGAGATCTGTGTTGCAGTTACTGGTTGAACAGGGCTATTGACATAGCAAGCTAGAGGTGTATGCATTACTAATTGATGTTCTGAACATAACTATGAGAAAATACTCTGATTTGCATCATTTCATAACTTCTTTTTAGTGTGCTGCGTGGCTGTAAGAAACTGTTTAGAGTGTCGGCAAAGGCAGAGAGAGAGAGTGAACAAGACTTCACTAATCAGCAGTAAGACTCAAGAGAGTCTTCAGGGTGTAACTGCATCAGCAACAACCAAGGTAATCCAGTCTTCAGTCACCAGCAGCTTTGGGCAGACTGTATTGCTGCTTTATATGACCGTAAAATAAATGTAACTGCTTCCTCAAATACTTGTTGGCAAAAGCTTAATTTTCTGCTATTTAGTGTTGCAAAATGAAAGAATGTTTTCTTTTTATTCGAAGCAAGAAAATGTTAATACAGTAGTATGACTGGAGCTGTTTTCAAGAGCTCTCTCTCTCTTGCTTGGTCTACTTCAAATAATCCAGTTCCTTTGCTTGCATCTGCCCTGTATACCTGCATCATTTTTTAATCTCTCAAGGCACCTGCAATTCTGATAAAATTTCGCAATCATGTTTTTATAGGTGGAACATCGGAGCCCCAGTAACTTCAGCAGAACTTGACATACCTAGAGGAGATCAGTATTTTTGTCTGATTTTAGGAATGAAACTTGTTTAATATACACTTACTGCTTAGTCCCACCAATGTCATTACTTCATTCCTCATCTTTTAATTTTCTCAAACTTGTTGACAGCTTTTAGAATTTGGGAGTCCTTAAGCTAAAATAACTGCCCATGACTAAAATATAACATGTAAGCTGACATAATAGAATCACCTTTTTGCTACTGTATTTTCATTACTAACTGTAGTATTTTTTTCTTCTCTAAAGCCCCTTTCAGATAGTGTGTATAAACTCATTACATTAACAATATTATATCAGTAAATCTCATGAAAATACTGAATTCCTTCACTTTGTCACATTCAGTGCAGAGCAAATAAGGGGAAGGAGACTTTTAGGTGTTTTGGCATCATTTGTACTACATTATCATTTTTTAAAGCATGCTGCTTTACTGTTATTAGTCTGTAATAATAATTCTCAGAGTAAAATGAAAAAGAACTACTTTCGACAATATTTCTGCTCACAGCTCTTAAATTTAATGTACGTATTAGAAATGCTTCATTGTACTGCTGTGAAACAACTATAATCTGAAATAACTTTTTGTATGCAAATTAAGACTTTAACACCTGGGAAGAGATAAAATTGTTCTGATGTATTGGCAAGATGTAAAATTTATATCTAAGTATTTACTATTAAGACAATTTAAAACATTGCTGTATTTGTGGAACCTTTGTTTGAGTATTATATTGGAAGTAATTTAGTAGTAAAAAAGCATTTAAAATTGGTGGTGTCTAAAAATGGTGTCGAATTAAGGTTCTAAAAGAAATGCTTTCAATTAAGATATTTAGGAAAAAAAAATCTCACAACTTTTTATTTTTAGAATCCCCTTGAAAATGTCCCCAGCAATCTCTCTCCTATAAAAGACCCTGACAGACTTCTTCAGGATGTTGATATTAATCGTCTACGAGCAGTTGTTTTTCGTGATGTGGTGAGTATTATGTGCTGTAATGCTTTCCTTCGGTAAAATCATCACTTATATTTGAAAGAGGTTTTGATTGTGCCATAATTAAAAATATCTTCATGTGTACACTTCGTATAGTATCTGGAAAGCCACCTGCTCATGACTTTGTAACTGCTGGCCACTTTCTGCACTTTAAATTCTAGTTAATAAGCTATTTGAGATTAGTAGGTAACTGTGCTTTACAGTAAGATTTCATGTTAACCAAATAGTCATTGTCAGAACAAGTATTAATTGAAAGTGTATTACTAATAGTGTTGGCTATTTGTCCATCTAAAATTGGAGGAGGAATTATTTTATTTATTGCAGAACTGCAGCAACTTGGCTTATAGTGTCAGTTTTTACTTCTGCTAAGTATAAATATATAAGTATACAAATATATATGTAAAAATCAGTTATTGTTCAGGTTTATGTGCAACTAGTTTTAGCAGAAGCCCATGCCACAATGTATTGGTTTTTGAAAGCAGTACAATAGGAATTATTTTGTGTGTGTGTGTGTGTGTACATATATATATATATGTATGTATGTATATGCAAATAGCGCTTTAAAGTTTAAACTCTCCAACCTAAGTTTAAGTGAAATGAAGCAAAAACTGAAGTTAGGAGCAGTTTAAGTCAGAAGACAGTACAATCTGTGACAAAGAGAATTTATCTATCAGGATGACCTGATCAGAACAGAAAAGGGAATGATGAAAACGTCATTTCTGATATTTCTATGAAAGAACTTAATAAGAGGATTTCTAATTATTTTAAAGGGTTATAATGACATGCAGTGAAATTAAACAGCACCCAGAGGAAAATGGAAAGCAAACACTGGAGTTGTAGTAGAAAACGTGTACTTGTGGAAGTAAGACAATGCAAAACCACTATACAAGTAAATAGATGCTGGAGGTTTAATTCTAACCATTCTGGTTTTCATATTATAATATAAAAAAATACATTTCAGTTGAATTACAGCAACTTAAACACCATTAGAGCCACGTCTAAGCATAGATAAAATAAGTAGTTGCCATAGAACACCAGACTACATGGGGTGGGAGGAAAAGAAGACAGCAAAGGTGCTGTGGTCTTGGTGTTTACTTTACTTATATTAGACCCCTTGAAAAGCGGGGTTGTTGCTGCGGATCCAGTTGAAGGATGAAGTCAGTATATATGAGCTGGGATTTACTGCTGAAGGAAAAATGATGGTCATAGCCTCCTGCCTACATGTTAGCAGAACATATATGCCTGCTAATTTACCCAGTGTTTAACAGCATCAGGAAGCCCAATTTTTCCCTCTAGGCACTTCCCTATAACTTCTTGTGGCAGGAGCTTTGGGATTCTTGCTCTTGGGGTAGCAAAAGTAGTTACCTTCACTGCTGAGAAGACTCAAATGTGCTCTCTTATAACAGCAGAATCAGGCCCCTACTCTGAAAAGCCCGTTGCCTTCACAGTCCCGGCGATGTGTGGAATTGTCAAATTGCCTGTGATATTCAATCATTAATGTGACTACTTTGTATATTGCGTATGGATATGCTGCATATGTGCTATATGCATAATACTCCACTGAAAATGCATTAAATCTTTTATGTAGTCCTTTTGCTATTGTGTTAACGGATGTAACATCTTAAAAAGTTATTATTTATAAAGCTTCATGATAATCTTGTGTAAAAATTTTATGTAAAAGTGCGTTATTATAGGTCTGTTCCTTTTTCTCTAACACAGGATGATAGCAAACAGGCTCAGTTCTTAGCTTTGGCAGTAGTATACTTTATTTCTGTTCTGATGGTCTCCAAATACCGTGATATACTAGAACCTCAGCGAGAGACTGCAAGATCTGGGAGCCAGGCAGGTAGAAATATGAGACAAGAAATAAATTCACCAACAAGTACAGGTACATCTGTTTTCTTCAAATATTATTTTTTATTTTAATATGTAGAAGTTTTTTAGAACTGTAATTATTTTACTACAAAGTATTTTTAATGAACAAGTTAATATCCTAGCAGGAAATTACTTGCTACTTTATTCTCTAAAACCATTTGAGTTTTTAACATACATTGACAGATTTCAATTAGTTTGTATATTTGCTTATCAGGTTTAATAATTTTCATTGACTTATTATGCTTTTAAACTTTCATTTTTTTAAATTTGTGTATGATTGAAAAGAAACAGGATGCTTGATGGAGTTAAAGTTGTGAAGTGCAAGATAGTTGATCAGCACATGTTCATAAATCTGTTGCTTGTTAATAAGGGCAGATATCTTTAACTCTATACCATGTGAAATGTGTAAGTGGCAAACACTAATTTTTACCCGCATGAACTCCTTTTGTTTGAATAAAGAGGTTTGTGAAAGGGTGGTAGAGGAGATCTGTACTTTCTTGAGGTCCTGCTGTGTTGGTGTCTGCATTTAAAAGCCTACAGAAACAGTATAATAAAAAGGAATCACTTCTGTTCCCTTCTTTGACTGAGCTGTTTGTGATTTTTACTACTACTACTACTATTATTATTATTATTATTACTATTACTATTATTGTTATTTACTGAAAAAGTTGTTCAGCCTGAGGGAGATGGAGACTGTTAGTTGAAGAACCTGTCAGAGATTAGTGTTCCAAATTTTTCCCCACTTTTGTTTCAAGTATTTTGTTTTGGCAATTCCATAGATTTTCAAGTCCCACTGGATTGTTTATAACTGTACCTTCTATGTTAAAAGAAGTGAAGAACTGAAAACAGTAGCTACATCTCTCCATGATGCTCTTCATTTACATTTTTCTTTTAATATTGAATTTGAATTAATTCCTTCATTTATGGAGTTGCTAGTTTTCATTGTTCATAGATTGTATCTTCCAATTTGTTTCATATTTACATGTAGTCGTTATCTTCCGATTCATCATTGTGTTTTAATTTACTACTTACACATTATTTTCGAAGTCCATGTGCTTTTAGGCTTTCCATTTTAAATAAAGCTATATAAACACAGTCAATTATGAGCAATCATAATTGTATGTGCCTTCCTGGTTATATATTATGGTTCTGCAGTAGGAAACTGCTAGCTTCAGTGAACTACACCCACAGCTGTCTTGTGTGTATATGTTTCTGTGTCTTTTTTTCCCCCGTGAATGTTGCTCTTGCAGTACCCAACTAATAGGTATGCTATTTCCTATCTCTTGATACAGAACTTGTTTTCTTCCTTTAGAAATGCATTTCTGTTGATAATACCATATTTGCATGTTTCAAAGAGATAGGACTTCTGTCATGGATCCACAGTGGACCAGGCCACACATGACTACTAGCTGGCTCACATTTGATTCCATGATTTTCTCCACAGTTGTGGTCATACCATCTATCCCTCACCCAAGTTTGAACCATGGATTCCTTGCCAAGTTAATTCCTGAGCAGAGCTTTGCCCACTCATTTTACAAAGGTAATATTAACATCATCTCCTAACCTGTTTGGGTGTTCTTATTTAATGTGATGTAATTTAAGAACTAACTGTAATGTAATTGTTGATAAATAAGTAGACGCCTCAGGTTACATGGAGATCAGACCTGATGATACCTTTAAATCTTTAACTTCCTGCCTACATTTCTCTAGGAAATCTCTTTCCCACTTTTACTACCATTTATTAACTTTATTTACTATGAAATAAATAAAAAGTAGAGCAGTGAGGAGGAGGGAAGGGGTATTGAAAATTTTCAATGCTTTTGGTCTAGGGTTATTCTGCTACAGTATTACGTCCATGCAAATAAAATCAGGCCTATTTAAAAAACATTACATACCAAATGAAATATGTAGTATTTTGCAATATTCCCTTTCCCCATACCTTTTCCCGTTATTCTTTTTTCCTTCCTTTCTTGCTTTTTTCTTGCCTTCTTGATGGTATGTAAACCTTTTATATTGTATGTACTGTGAATTATTTGATGCCTGTTAGTTAACGTACTGTGCTGTGCTTTTCTTGAAAGAGATCACTTCTGTGACCAGAGAAACTATTACATGTTATAAGCCTGTTTATTTGTTATTGTTTTTTAACAGATGCAATCTAAAGTAGGGAATATGTTTTTCGGATGTCGTTATCTTAAAATGGAAGGGATACCTGAATCTAACTTTAGCCAAATTTGCATGTAGGTTTCCCCATTTATTTGCATGTACAATACTAGGAATACAAAAATGTCATAGAGGTTAAAAAACTTAATCTGATGAAAGTGTTCTTCATATCATTTTGAAAAATCTCAATGAGTAAAAAGACTGATTAAAAAAAAAGCTAAGAGATTTAAAATTGCATCCTCATGTTTATAATGAACAGAAATAGTGAACTTCCTACTTTATGATAATGCAACTTGTATTTATCATACGCTATTATGGGAACATTATGTTAAACTTTTCATTAGATCAGCTTAAAATATCACTGTATTAAGTCGATATTTCTTAAACTTTGTTTTGTGTATGTTTTGTGTGTATGTATGTGTAAATTATAAAATGTTTCAAGCTCTAACAACTAGTAAGACTTACCATTTCCCTTAACATAAAGACTGTTGTCCACCATCCAAAAAACTAAGTTTTAATTTTGGATCGCTCAATTTATGGAGTTGTTGACTCAATTTACTGATGTTGTATTCTTTGTTGTGACATATTTGTGTGTGTGTGTGTGTGTGTGTATACATATATATATGATTTAATCTATTGTTGATAAAAGGAATCATTTGCTGTTAGTCCAGCAGAGTGCTATAATACTCTGTATTATTACAGAGTAGTAGTAAAATCTTAACTGTACCTAAAGCTTAAATGAATCCTATTTTCTCATCTTTTCTGCATTTAGAACACCTTTTTGTGTATTAGGATATTTTATTTTTTTACTAGCTATACTGAAAATTGCAATGGATTAGACCATCTCAAAATGCAGTGTGTTTTAAAAACATTTAATTTTTTATTATATTGTATGCAGTAAAAGAGAATTATGCAACATAAATGAGATCATATTGCTCTTTGTACAAAGTGTGACCCGTGAAATAGTGGGTAGCAAACTGGCTGAATGGCTGAGCTCAGAGGGTTATGATTAGTGACGCAAAGTCTAGTTGGAAGCCTGTAGCTAGCAGTGTCCCCCGGGGGTCAGTACTAGGTCTAGTGCTGTTCAATTTATTCATCAGTGACTTGGATGAAGGGACAGAGTGTACTCTCAGCGAGTTTAATACAAAACTGAGAGAAGTAGCTGATGCACTAGAGGGCTGTGCAGCCATTCAGAGGATATTTGTGTGTGTGTGTGTGTGTGTGTGTGTGTATACATATATATATGATTTAATCTATTGTTGATAAAAGGAATCATTTGCTGTTAGTCCAGCAGAGTGCTATAATACTCTGTATTATTACAGAGTAGTAGTAAAATCTTAACTGTACCTAAAGCTTAAATGAATCCTATTTTCTCATCTTTTTTGCATTTAGAACACCTTTTTGTGTATTAGGATATTTTATTTTTTACTAGCTATACTGAAAATTGCAATGGATTAGACCATCTCAAAATGCAGTGTGTTTTAAAAACATTTAATTTTTTATTATATTGTGTGCAGTAAAAGAGAATTATGCAACATAAATGAGATCATATTGCTCTTTGTACAAAGTGTGACCCGTGAAATAGTGGGTAGCAAACTGGCTGAATGGCTGAGCTCAGAGGGTTATGATTAGTGACGCAAAGTCTAGTTGGAAGCCTGTAGCTAGCAGTGTCCCCCGGGGGTCAGTACTAGGTCTAGTGCTGTTCAATTTATTCATCAGTGACTTGGATGAAGGGACAGAGTGTACTCTCAGCGAGTTTAATACAAAACTGAGAGAAGTAGCTGATGCACTAGAGGGCTGTGCAGCCATTCAGAGGGACCTGGACAGGCTGGAGAGACGGGCAGAGGGGAACTTCATGAAGTTCAACGAAGGCACGTGCTGGGTCCTGCAACTGCACCTGGACGCAGTCCTGTGCAATGTGCTCTAGAGGACCCTGCTTGAGCAGGGGGGTTGGACTAGATGATCTCCAGAGGTGACTTTCAACCTCAGCCATTCTGTGTGTCTGCATGTATATGTGTAAGAAAAGAAGGGGAAAAAACAGATAGTTTTTCTTTTATCCACATACAATATTTGAAATAAAATATACACAGCAATAGTAGAAAAAAGTCTAAAAAAGAATGGAGGCAGCCATACACACGCACTAAAACATTTCAGACAAAGCGTTTTCTGTAGTAGATGTGTCCTCTATGCTGTTGTCTATAATATTTACTTTGACTCGAGATCAAGAAAAATACAGTTTTGGGGTTTTTTACTTAGTTGAATAGAACTATAGTAAATGTATGGGCAGGATACAAAAGGAAAGTATTTTACCATTTGAAAAAGAATATTCAATAAAGGATAAGTTATCTGTACCAAGTTATTTTATTTTTTGAAAAGTAGCATAATCTTTCAAGATTTTAAATCTATGAGGTCTCAGGGTCTTGCCCCCTAACTCAACTTCATCCATCAGAGAAGAAAAAAAATTTCTGCTTTTTAA